CCATGTAGCAATCAAGCCAGTAAATTAAAATGTTGCCATTGCAGTATTTTTATCAGCATTTATGCTTTTATTTTGTCAGGATAAATATGCTCTGTACTTGAGTTGTTTGCAAGAAGCATGTGGCAATATTTAGTATATTTAATAGTATCATTAGAGCTATATGTTCAGATGTGTAAAAAAAGCAATTCACTTGTATGAGTGTGTGTATCGACTGTATTATACATGCAAATACGTGCACACAGAAGAGTCTGTGTGTCTCAGAACTAACAGATCCGTTCTCTCTGTTCCCCCATTTGTTCCACATGCCTGCAGTGCCCTCCCAAAGCCTCCCTCACCTGTTCTATGGTACAGGCCAAATAAAATTGGTTATTGTGGTGTGTGATCTGCCTGCCAGCTCTGTGAGTCTCGGACTTGTGCTGGAGGGGGAAAAGGTCAGGGGCTGTGATTGTGCATGAGCAGCAGTCTCCTGTGTTATTAAGAGCTGGATTTTCCTCAAAATATGGTTGTGGTGTTGGTGCTTCAGAACTCATTTGGGGGAAGATTAGGTGTAGAAATCAGCCTTTCAGATTCCAGCAGTTTCCTATGCAATGTTCTCTCCATTTTTACAGATCTGGAGGGGTTTGTGCAGGTTGTTTTGTTGTTGCCTTGTTCCTCTTCCCTTTTTCTGGCTCCTTCTCTGATACTCCCTTGCTCCTGAAACCCCTGCATTTTCTTCCATTTAACTGCTGGTTTTTGTTCTATTATTCCTTTCAATTGGGCTTGATGATGTTTTGTGTTGTGTTCAGAAACAGGGATCAGACTGCATCCTGCCTGATTTTGCTGCTAAAATAGCTATGTCTGTACAGTGCATCCCCTTTTGACCCCATAGCTGAGGAAAGAAACTCATTTTGCTCTGTGAAATGGGGAATTGCTGAGTGAGTGTTTGTGTTCTTTGCTGCCATGTGAGGACAGCTCTGTCCTTAGCACTGTATGAGCAGTAAAATGCAGAAGCTCCCTAGTGTTCCAGTGTGCTGCTGGCCTGCCAGTAGCCTGGAGGTGTCCTGCTGGGAGCAGGAGGGGGCAACAAAGGAGAAAATACCTGCTGGCACATTGTGGCTATTTTGGGACTGGCTTGGAGCTTCTTGGAAATATTGTTTCTTCAGAGATATTGCTACAGAGAAAGAAAAATTGTTATTGTCTAATATGTCCATTGTTCAGGTGTAGCAGAGTCAGTGCCCTGAGTACTTCATGAGTTTGACCTAAATTCTGAAGAAAGACCTGCTGTGCTCTCTGTTCTGCTAAACTGTGGGGTTTGTAGCTGGTTTTTAACAAGAAACATCAACTCTTTCATTGTGAAAAGAGACTTCCTGAAGAGAGTTGATAGAATACAGACAGTATCTGCCTCTTCCCAAGTCTCTATTAACATGATCTAGCACTATTAGAGAAAACTGCAGAATTCTGTAAAGGCTTGTCTAAACAGGAAATGTTATTCCAATTTTAAAATTGGATGGATTTGAAGTAGAGATTAGTTGATCAGTGTCTAACTATCTAGAGTTATTTTAGATTAGCAAATTTGCACATTGCTTTAAATTGCAAAATATCCCAGCACTGAGGATTATATTGTCAGGAGCTGGTGACAGTACACTTGAGACAGTGATTTCAAGCACTCTGCAGGGATTTAATTCAGAACTGCAGGTGTTTCCTTTTCAAATAGCAGTTTCTATTTTGTCAGGTGGGATATTCTGGAAACCAGATTTAGTTTGTATGAACAGTGAACCATTGATAGAATTATTATAAAAAGATTCAAATTAATATGGCATTTGAAATAGAAAATATAAATTATGCACCAAAACTACAAGAGCAAATGTTCAGGTTTTTGCTGCTGCAGTGAAAAAGTATTTTGCCTATCTGATAAATAGGATAGTGCAGTGATAGATTTAAAAGACCCAGAGTAGTGAGATTTAAACCTGTCTCTCATCTGATACCCCCATTTCAAGGTCTTCCTCAATTCTGCATGCCTTTAAAGATAACACATGTGCTTGCTTTTTGCAGCATCAGGGAGCAATTATCTAATGCAAGTTAACTGCTGTGAGCCAAAATGCATTTTTACTTTTATTACTTTAGACTTCTTGATGTATTTTGGTATCTGGAGCCATAGAAAGCTCTGGTTTTGAAGGGGCCTCCAGAGATCATCCAATCCAACTTTCTCTTGAGAGCACAGCCTTAGATGTGGTTATCTGGGGTCCTGTCAAGCCAATTAAGTCCTGAACTCTTTCCAGTGAGGGGAATTCTACCACTTCTCTAGGCAACTATCCTAGATCTTTAGTTTTTCTACTGAGGATGTTTTCCAGACAATGTTTCCCAACAAAGCAGCTTGTGAGTTTTGCCTTTGCCCTATCCCTGTGCATCCATGTGAAAAGAGCACCTCTGTCTTCCCTGTAACTCCTTTTGAGGCTTGAGCCACATCTAAACTTTTCTACTTAGTTCTGTCTTGGAACTTCACATCCCTACTCTGTTTACAAGTGTATGGAATCTGTTACAGAAAAACAATATAGACAGAAATACAATATAGACAAGAAACAAATACTTTTAGTCCATTGGATTTCTAAAGTGTTACTAAAAAAATAATCTTGGAGCGGGATATTATTGCAACAGAAATTGTGGAGGTAGTATGAGTTTCCCATCTGGCAAGGCCCCTGACCAGATGGATCCACTAATGACTTTTATAGAGCATTTCATCAGACCCTGTTGAAACACATGTCTGGCATCTTTAATTATCCTGAATTAACACAGTTCCAGCCTTGGATGCTTAGATTCTGGCTTGTTGATTTTTGAAGGGAAGGAAATGTTCCCTGAAAGATCTTCCTACTAGACCTTTTTATTAATGAGGTATAATGTTAAAATATTACCTGTGCTTTTTTGGTTCATCCTGCATGGATTGTTTGTGTAGAAGTGCCTTTGGAGGCACTTGGGTTAAAGAGATGTTTTGCAGCTACATCAGAGTGCTTTGGAATTTACCCAAGTGCATTTAGCCAGGAGTCCCGTGGCTTTCTTTGCCTTTCCTGTAAGGAAGGGAATGGGCACTACCAAAGCAGTTCATCTCTGCCTCTCTCCATGTGTGTGCAGCCATTCCTGTTGCTGCTTCCACAGAAGGAAGTTCTTGTTGCAAGGGAAGCGGCTGCTATGGCCAGTGGGCAGCACCTACAGCAACTGCTGCTGCTTTGATCCCTTGTTTGCATCCCAGCTCCTTAGCACGAAGGAGTTTGTGTCCTTTTCCCTCAAACCTAGAAAACAGAGATAAATTTTCTTGGGACAGTTTTCCTGCTCACCCTACTTGCATCTTGTTCTCCCTGTAGAAGGAATGGGAATTAATCCTGTAATAATGTGTTTTCTATACTATAAATCACTGTTGTTTGAATGCCTTGTCTCTTCTAAATGTTATTTCCATATAATATAATGTAACAGTATTTCAGTGTTTTCCAGTGATGCAAATATCAATGTGGTTTCATTGCAAGTGGTCTAGTTATGGGATGTATGCTTAGAAAATACACCTTTGCAGTTCAAAACACAGCCAATCAAGTTCATACCCATTTATGGAGGCAGGGAAGGGCATGGAAATCTTACACCCTGAAGACAGCACGTGACCTCTGTAACAGAGAATTTTTTTATAGTTGAACACACATCAAACATATGTCATATGCAGGTAACAAACAGTCACCAAGAGTTCTTGAAATTTGACTTCATTTCCTTCCCCTAACCCACTGCTCTGTCTGCCAAAAATAAGCCCTTGGTTATCTAACAGCCAGACAGAACGTGGGCAGGGGGAGTGCATTGAAAAGGCTCGTAGCAGGAGATGAATGTCCTCAGCGGGGCTGGGAAATCAGACTGCTAATTTAGGTGCCAAAATTTGATATTATTCCCTAATTTTAGTTCTCCCACTGGCTGACTTCATGCATCAGAAAGGATAAAAGAAATACCAGAAACATTCAGTATAGACATGTTGATTGTTTAGGAAATGTGTTCATGCTCTTAACATGAGAGGAGGCTCTGGTGTATGAGAACTGCTCTGTGCTAAATGGTGGCACATGTAATTAAGTTCTGCTCTAGCAGTGAGGGAGATTAGCCCAATTAATCTTTTCCTTCTGGTTCTTGAAGACAAGTATTCTAACTTAATTACAATTTGTGGTGACACCTTTTATTGCCTGTATAGGTGTAGAACTGAGGTGAATTAGCTGACATACAATATAATGTACAACTCTAGCCTGGGGAGGAAAGGAGGAATGGGCAGGGGAGATAAAACAGTTAAATTGTGCTACAATTGTTTTTTTTCCATAAAATGCATATGTTTACAAAACTTTCTTAATCTTTTTGATTAAGTTTTCATAATAATTAATTTTATCTGTTCCTGGGATAGCAGAAGTATTCAGCTTCCCTCAGCCACCTGGTGAGTGCCAGTTAATTAATAGGATGTTTTCTCTTTCCACGCGTAGCTCACATACTCAGCCATCGTTCAAATTTGTTTCCTGGGTAACTGTATAAAACTGTCTTTGTATTCATATGACTTTACAGAGAGGTTTTATTCTTATTTTAATATCTGAAGTGTTGTGAACAGACATATGTGGTTTGATTCTGGTGAAACAATTTACTTCTATGTCTCTTCTGAGATTGCTATGTTTAAACATTTGAAAATGAGAGGATTTCTTGTGTGTATTTCTCATAGTGAACAATATCATTATTGCAAAAGGGGATAATTAGTAGGAAATCATCCATTACAAACCTGTGAAAGACTAAGATCCAAGTCTGTGTTCAATCAGCATGTCAATCAAAAGTATTTAAACATTCTCCAATTATGCTTTTCCTTTTTCTAGTTAAAATATTATTACATGATAAATTGTATTCTGCATTTACCATGTCAGTCTCAGCAAAACATTTTAAGTAAATACTGGAATCTACTGAGTTTTGAAGACAGCTGCTGTGATCATTCCCAAAGTGTGTTATAACTTGAAGTGTGTTGTTTGCAGCCTTGCAGTTCATCCGGATAAAACGTTGATAGCCACAGGGCAGGTTGGGAAGGACCCCTACATTTGCATCTGGGATTCCTACCGTGTCCAGACCGTGTCTGTCCTGAAGGATGCGCACACGCACGGAGTCGCCTGCCTGGCCTTCGACTCGGATGGCCAGGTCAGTACAGCTCCTCCTCTGGGCTCTAAACTCAGCTGTATTTCTGGTTCACTGAGAGATGCACCTTAAATGTTTGGTGTTTCAGCAGCTACAGTCTGCAGTGTTGGAGCTCCTGTTACAATTGAATTGTGATTGCTGTTCAAGACTTGGTTTGTATCATAATTGTAATTGCAGTAAGAGGACTGCAAATGCAGCTCTTGCGCAGGAAGTGCTTTTGGGATGAAATCACAGCCTGACATCTGAGTGGAGTGGAGGCATCTGGTGTTGGACAGGTATTCAGAGCAGAAATGCCCCTCTGTGGCATAACTGCAATGACGTCGCCATGTACTTGTCACCTGCTGTCCAAAGGAATCAGTTCCTGGCAAAGCTCTCAGAACTCTGCAGCTTTTCTGGCAGAAGAACTGATCTAATCTCACTGCTGGGAGAGTCTCCTTGGCTGGGGTGCACAGGCAATTTAATTGAATAATGGCATTAGGACACACAGTGTGGCTTTCTACAATGAGATTAATTGAAATGATGTCTTGTAAAAAAATGTATAATATAACTAAATGGTGGGCTGTTTCCGGATAAACACAATGATTTTTTTCTCTTTAGCAGTGTTAAAAGCTTTAGGCAAATAGACCTAAAATTCATTTATACCTGAGAAATATTTTACAGAGCTTTATAAATAAATATATATTTGGCTGTGAAATTTTTGTCGTCATTGATGATAATTGATGAGTTTCCTGATGTAATACTTACTAAAGTATTTTTAGGAATGCTTAGATTAGCTGATACCAAAAACCTCAGACAAGAAAACCCTCAGATCAATGGAACAAAATTTCTAATGGTGTAATATTTTTTTAAGATATTGTTAATTCAAAAATAAATGTTTTAAAATTTTTTCTCCTCATGTTTAACTTCATAAGACTGGCAGTTAAACTTTTTTTTTTTAAGCTATTTCAGTGCCTCATGGGAGTAAAGACTTATGAGCCTGGGGGATGTTTGAGGTGGAGGTCTTTGTGAAGGCCCTGATAAGTGCTTTCTGTAATTAAAACTCAAACTCACTGCCAGGTTGACCTTGCAGAGCTGTGGCAATTCCCTTTCTGGAAATGCTTGAGAAATTGCAGTTTATTCTGGAAATAAAAATTTGCATTGAACACTTTTATGTCTGGAGAAAAACCACTGCTGGAGAACATGAATATGGATAATGCATCTTGGCCTTTTGCTGCTCTTCCTGGCTTTGCAGGAGAGGCTGCTGTGCTGAGCCAGAATTAAAGGGCATGAGAAGAAGTCTGTGAGGATTTGGAGCTCAGAGCTGCTGGCAGCTCTGGTTTTTTTAGTCAGCATTCCCAAGGTGCTGGTGTCTGTCACAGGGCAAAACACGCTGCTTGCAACTCCCAGTGCAAAGCTTTCCTTCTTTTATATCCAAAGGCTGTTAAAAGCCAGGGAAGGTCTGCATTTCAGCCCCCAAACACAAATAAATGCAACAATCAGGAGTGGTACAGATGCAATAAGAACTGTATTCTTTCCACTACTAGTTCTGCCAGCTGTCTGCTTCCTCAATAAAAGTAAGCAGAGGCAAAGCCCAGGTGACTCTGCTGCATTCCCAGAGTGAATCTCCATGGATTCCACTTGTCTCCTTGTGTGTTCCTGTGCAAGTGCCGCTCTATGTGCGGGCATCTTGAACAGGGCCACCTCACCTCACTTTGAGCCAAGTTAATTCACTTTTGTTGAACCAGAAGCTCTGGGATATTGGTTCCTTTTGGATCAATTAGTGGGGAAATATTCCTTCTGGCCAGACTGGAGGTGACCCTGCACAGAGACAGCGCAATTGTTCCTGCAGTGCTTCCCTGGCCCCATGTGCCACAGGGTGGAGAATGAAGATCAGTGTGCACAGGATTTGTTATAGTTTCTATTAAATGGAGATCATCAATACACAGGAGAGAGCTTGAATGCTTCCTTTGTTTTATGTACCTTCAATACAGTTTTTGGAGACAGTCGGAGTGAATTTCCTATTTTGTGTTGCCTGTATTTAATACAGTCCTGATGGGAGCTGAATTTCTTGCAGAAGTGTTGATATTTAAAAATACTTATTTTAGTTTGGACTTTTTCTGACTGAGCAAGACCTGCCATTTGGCAGGAGGGAAACAGCACTTTGTTCAAATGTTTAATGAGGAGCTGTCATTTTGCCCGTAATTAAAAATGTCTTCTCTTCAATCAGGAGTTAACTAGAGTTTCTCTTCAAAAGTACCAACATCCCCCCTTCACAGAATTACCTACAAAACAGATGTCCCATAATGAACTATTTTATCAATACCCCACAGTTCAATTTCTGCTCTGAGTTATTTCAAATTAACCCTTTTTTATGTGATTTCTAAAAATATTTTTTAATTGAGTGGGAAGGGCACTAATGAAAAAATTTAAAATGCAGCACTAGACTTCTTTAGCCAAATCTTTCAAATCTATGTAGATTTTAAAATAATAGTTTAATTATGTGCCTAAACTACTCAGCAGATATTTTCTTCTGGTAGTTCTGGGAATTCTCTGAATAATTCTATTCATATATTCCCTTCTGTCATATTCCCTTCCAGAAGGAGAACTAAAAGTGTGTTTCAACCAAAAGGAAATTCAGCATTTATCACTTTTCTGCTGGCAGGAGATCTTCCTCAGCAGGCCAAGGTTAAAAGAAAATATAAAGTACTTCTTAGTTTCCCGTAGTGCTTTCCCCTTCTGATACCAAAAACAGTTAAGGAATAAACTTTCTCACACAATTTGAAGTTTTAGAAAGCAGCCATTCCTTATTCTAGCACTGGATGCAGTTGGAGGAGTGATTTTTTTTATTTTTTTTTTTTCCTCCAATTAAGTGTGTGTTGTGAAACTTCACAACAGGTCATTCATTCCCTCTGGATCAGACATATTACAATATATTTCCCAGCTAATACATAAACACCACTTTCCCTAGAACTAATTTCTATATCTCTGCCCCTTACTGGAACTCCTTTTGTGGTCCTAGAGGGTTGTCTAAAGGGGTCTCTGGTGGTTCTCACAGAGAGCCTGCAATATTTTAATGACCTTGCCTTGAACTTCTCAGGGCATGCACTGGTGCTTCTTGTTACAGAACTACCACAGACCCCTCTCAGGTTCCTCATTATCTGTTTATCCACTAGTTTCAGCTACCTTTAATATCCTATGTGTCTTCTATATTCTTTTATCTAATTTGCTGGTTAGTAGCTATGCTCTATTTTGCAGTGTCAAGGGAACTGAATATTTCTATTCTCGGTGTTGTCTGTCAACCCTGTTCTTGAGACTGTGTCTCTTTTAGACAAGTCTCAATACTTCATTATCCAGTACAAAGTCTTACAAGTGTAACATTGAATTAAATTGCTTTCTAAAATCAAGGGAGTATAATTGCAGATTGTCCTGCACTCCCTGGGTGGAAAAAGTTCTCTTGGCCCTAACTCTTCCACATGGTTGTTGCCAAAGTACCCTGAGAGGAGGCATAGGGCTTGGAGACAGGAACATTTAGGAAGGCATTGTCTGCACACATGAAACAGGTGCCAGTCCCAGTACTGAGGTCTGATTTCCAATTTCCCACTGTCAGGCTGCTGCTGGATGCAGGGCTCCTATGTGTGATTCTTTTGTATTCTCAGTGCCATTGGGCCAAAGGAGTTTCTCAGTGGCCCTGCAGCTGGGAGTGGTGTAACACTGATGCTGACCAGCTCCAGCACCCGAGTCTATTGACATTTTGAGTAATGTTAAAGCACAGAAATCCTTTCACATTGTGACTTCCTGCAAAAACTATGATTTTATTTCTTTGTTCCACCGTACAAACTTCTTTAACTCTCCCTTCACAACTCTGTTATGAGTCAGAGCCTATTGACTGAGTTCTGCCCACCCTGTAGAGTGGATCAATTAGTTCCTCCAAGGGAACCTCATTCTCCCAACAATATCTGAGAACATACCCAGATTTCCCTGTGTAAACCTTATGTACCTCTAAGAACAGCTCATTTAAATTATCTGTATTTTTATTCCTGTGGAAGGAGACTGCACTTGGAGGAGCTTGTGGTATAAGTCTGTAAATAGTTTTTTCTGGTGATAGTGATGAGGGGTGTTGAGTTGAGGTTTTTGAAGGGTTTTTATTTTGTTGTTGTTTTCATTAATACCACATTGCTTGGTGCATTTTCTGATGGGACAGTGGTTGAGCTCACTAGGCAGGTTTTGCAATGGGGTAGTGCCTGTTGTGATCTTTCATTAAACCAAAGTCCCAAAACATTTCATTCCTCTAAATCAAGAAACTGTAACTGTTGAGACAGTGGGTGTGTGAACCTACTGCAGTTAATGCAGAGGCTGTCAAGGGGCTCTCCCAGGAGGAAAGATGTGCACTCAGTATTTACACTCAGGAATGGGATGAAAAGGCCTTGAGTGCCTGCTTTCTGAATTATTGCTACAGAATAAAAACGGAAGCGTTCTGTTCCTGTGTGAACAGTTATTCTCTGTTATTCAGTTGTTGAGAGCTTTATTGCATTTAATATTTTTCCTAATACAGAATTTCAGAGGAGTCTGTGGTAATGACACTTGTTTTCTTTGCTGCCTCAGACCTTTTGTGTTACCACAGACAGGTCCAGATTTTAAACAATTTGCTTACTCAAAATTTGAGCCAATTTTTTTATGGAATTCATGGAAAGTTGGACAAAATTACGACAGTCACTGAAAGGGAAAAGACCTACAACTTCCACAGTAATGGCTGATCTTCTGGGCATGTCACAGAGGGATGCATTCTGCTTTTTCCCTTCTAGTATGCCACCTTCCTTTTATTCTGTTCATTTTATTTCTTCCATTATTGAGATGGAAAAATTAATTATTAAAATTAAGTTTTTAGTTGATGGTAAATGAAACTTTAATTTAGCTTGGTTATTAGTAAATTGTTTTAGTTATTTTAACTGGTGATATGATAGAGTAAGCATTGAAAAAGGCGATTATTGAAAGTACATCCAGTTCTGGTTCTAAAGCCCAGCAAAATGAGCATAATGAACAAAGCAGTAGTTGGAAATAATGAAAGCTTTTATTTCACTTTTATAATCAGATTAATAAATCAAAATGCTAGAGAGGTGTGTACCTGAAACAAGGGCCTCAGCTGTTACAGGGTAAGAATTTCATTTGGAACATTGGCAACCTGAAATCAATAACCTGACCTTTTAGAGAAGATGAGACATTTTAGTGCTCTCTCCAGTGAGTAAATGTTGAGTGTGAATGTCATTGCTGTTGCAATGTGGTTCAAACCCAGGTCACATGTGGGAAAATCCATTTGTGCACGTAATCTTGGGAGCTACAGCAAAGTGATTTGGGGTTGATTTCCTGTTAACTGGATTGCTGTTGGTTTTCCTCAGCGTTTGGCTTCTGTGGGACTGGATGCCAAAAACACAGTGTGTATTTGGGACTGGAAGAGAGGAAAGCTCCTGGCAACAGCTACAGGCCACTCCGACAGGGTAATTGTATGGAAGCATTCCTGAATTTTGTCTAGGAGCTGCATGGGTGTTTCAAAAATTATTTTTGTTTCCATTAGGTTGACGCAAAGATAATTTTGGTCATTCTACCTGGCTTTTAAAATATTTATTCCTTCTCATTGTGCCAGACCTAGCACAAGGCACTGTTAGTAAGCTTAGGGAGGAAATATGTTGTACCTATGCATTGAGTAGGATGATCTGTAGCTTTTCATACGAGATGTGAAATAGGAGCTCTGTGGACAAAGATTATCTTGTTTCTGAGTATGTCAAAAAACCAATTTATTCTGAGGGCTAATTTTGTTATATCCCTTCCAGTTTTCCTTAAGACAGTTACCTGTAGAAGAAAATCAACTGAGATAAATATTTATGTTCTGTTAGCTTCAGGTAAAGGATCATAAGACAAAAACTGACCAGGTATAAGTTTACAGTGTTATTCAGGATTGGAAAATGTTTTACCAGGTTTAGCATAAGCAAAATACCTCCCTGACATATATAAGCACATGGATGCATATGTTAAAATAAATTATGTTAACATATGGATGCATATGTCAAAATAAAATATGTTAAATGGATACATTCTGACAACTTGTATGTATATTATCATATTAGAACATGTTTTACATCTGTGAAAGTTTTGCTACTGACCTCACTAAATGCAATATCAGGTTCTGAATTATCAGAATTCTCCAGAACATAGACTAGAAGTACTCAAGTCTTAGTCCCAGTAGGCTTTCCCAACCAGAAAAAGGAACTTCTGCACAGAAGAGGGAGTGAGAAAGAATGTTTATGTAAATATTGTTTATTCAATAACATCCTGGAGCTGGAATGGATTGGCAGTGTGGAGACAGGGATAAAGTGTGTTGACAGAACTATATGTGAGGTACCCTCTATGTTTGCCCTGATCTCTGATTACAAAGAGTTCCAAATTTATCTGTAGAGTGTTCTTTCATTTTTAGTAATCTGTTCCAACAGAAATTATGGCTAAGCACAAGTGAAAGCAAGCTGAACCTAGATGCCATTACTGTATAGGTTAAAATATCTGCTCACTATGTTTCTTAACAGATATTTGATATTTCCTGGGATCAGTATCAGCCAAACAGAATTGTCAGCTGTGGAGTAAAACACATAAAGGTAAAGAGCTTTCATTGTTTACTTGGAAAAAGTACTTCTACCAAAAAAAAAAAAAGTGTTCTTACCTGCTAAGGACTTGAAATATAGGACAGTTTATATTTTTCTTACTTTATGTGAACATTTTGCAGAATGTTTTTTTTTTTTAAGCCAGTTCAGACATTCACCGGTGCCTAAGCTGCCGATTACCTGAACAAGAAAGTCAGGAAGATTCTTTGGTGTAATTTTCATCATTATATACTTATAATTTTGTGTATCTGCCCTCTCCATTCCACCCTAATGGTCTCAGCCTTCAGGGATTTCCCTCACCCATCATCACAAAGGGTCACCGTGCAGCTGTAGGGGGAACCAAGGTAAAAAGTGTGAACAGAATCACCAGCACTTGGGCTTCTCATGTAACATGACTGAGAAGTGTGCAGGGCCTGCAGAGACAAAACTCTGGAGCCCCACTGTTTGCTCCCTCTAAGTCACCCTTTTTGGAAGTGTTTGAAATAGAAACCTACATATATATTAGATGTTTAAGATAAAACATTCTTATGCCCATGGAAAGCTTAGAAACAAATCCTTGTTTGCCAATATACCCTTCAGGTTTCTATTTTTCTCCTGTCTCCTCAAAAACATTCCTAACAGATGGCAATTATTTCACATGACTGGGGTGGGAAGAGCTTTAACTAGAAGTTTAGGAAACCAATTAGTATCTTCAGTTCTGGTTCCTGAGAAGCTTGTGCCCTTAAACCACCACTGCTTCAAGCTGTGGGTGGTTTTGGCAGCAGTGATACCATCTGTTGTGTTCTGCAAGCTGTTTTCCAAAACCTGTGTTTGTTTGGCACCTGTCTTCTATTTAAAATGGCCATAATCACCCTGAACACAGAGAATACCAGGCACTGTAAATACACGGAGATAAAGGAATGCCAAAAAATAGGAAAAAAACAGCATGGAGGGGAAATTACTCTGTGTTCCCCTCCAGTGGTGCTCCAGCAGTTCCCTGACACAAGGTTGTGGGAATGTGATAGTAACAGCTCTGAAGGAATTGTATCACTGTGGGAATTGGGACTGATGCTTGGGAATTGGGCTGTTTATTCTTTTACCAGTCCAGTTCTGTTGGCTCTTTTGGCTGAGCTGGGATTAGAAGTTGAGGTAAAGCCCAGGAGCTAAGGAAGATCTCACTGAGCTCAGGATCCTCCCTCCACCCTTGTAACACTGCTGCCTCAGTGTTAAGAGAACTCCTTCCTTCTGGCACTCCTTCTTCAGCTGACCAGAAAGTAGGAGAATTTAGGTTTTACTCAAGGAATGAGAGCCGTGGGCACAGTACTCCCTATGCCTTCTAAATTTGCTGATGTTAAGAGGCAAAAGGAATATTTAATAGAATTAACAACAGAGAAGGAGCTGAATCTTGATCCAAGGATTTTCTGGAATAAAGAATTTTAGAAAAATACGTAAAAATTTGGCTGCAGGCAAATGAAGTGGCAATGGATGGACATGATGAATCCATGTCAGACACATCATTATTCCTGTCCAGTGTCTGTCAGATGACAGAGTGGGGATGGCTCCACTGACACACTGTGCTGTGCTGCACCCCAAAGATTTGCTGTTCTGTGTCTGCATCTGTCCAGAACATCCTGGTGCTCACAGGACTGGAGATTTCAGCACTTCTCTTGCATATCTGTCATTGATATTCTCTTTATTCCGCCTTCCCTGGAAGGTATGGTCCTTGAGAAGGAGCTGAGTACACAAACTGTGGTCTCTGCTTGATAAATGATATTAATTTAAATTTAAAAAGCACTCATTCAAAAACAAGTAGTCTGATATTTCTAGCTTGCCTCCAAAGACAACCTTCTGAGACAAACTTTCTGTTTTCTTCACTCTTCGTCTCCTCCCTAGTCAGTCTTAGATTGCTTTTTGCAGAATGTTAATGACTTTTGGATGGTAGCTGAAAGTCCTCTTTCCACACTTGGGACCTGTTACTCTGGGAGTCAGGGAGTTGTCTCATGTATGGAGTGTTTGCAGTCCCCATGGAACAGATGGTTTCTCAATAACTGTGACTGTATTTGAAGGGCAGAATTCTTTCAGTACTCTGGAGAAGGGCAGAAATGTCTGCTCCAGCACGCAGGCTGTGCAAGATAAAGTATTTTATCACTTCAGTGCTGTAGCTGTGTTTTTCAGACAAGAAAAATGGGATTTTCTTTGGTTTAAAAACATGCACTTGTCTGGACAGCATTTCCCAGCAAAACCTGATAAAGGACAGTGAACGAATGAGAAAGGGCAGGGTGCCAGTAATGAGGCAGCATTGACCTTCCCCTCCTCAAGCAGTTTGATAATTTGTTTTGGGTTTAGTTGTACTATATTTGTCTGGATCTTTCCTGGGTGAATGGGCAGGCTTTGGAGTAGTGGGTGATCTGATATGACTGAAGGAATCACTTCAGTGCATGCCCAGACACTGCTCTGTCAGGATGTGTGTCTGAGATCTGCACACTAATGTGAAAAAACAGAAATTCTGCAGGAACCTCTCCTGATCTGCCATTTATGTTTCACAGTTTTGGACATTGTGTGGAAATGCCCTGACAGCAAAGAGAGGAATATTTGGTAAAACGGGAGATCTCCAAACAATTCTGTGTTTAGCCTGTGCTAAAGAAGACATCACCTACTCTGGGGCTTTAAATGGGGACATCTATGTTTGGAAAGGGCTCAACTTGGTCCGCACAATTCAAGGAGCACACAGTGTAAGTGGTGTTTTCATGTCTGCTTGATAAGGAGCTGTTCATTGAATTGAAAAACTTCCTGAAGGCTTAGCTACAAAGATTTCCTTCTGTTTCAGGTCAGGAGGATGTCTGAGGCTGTTCAGCAATTAAGAACTTGGATGTAATGCTGTATTTGTTGACTTTTTGCCAACAGATGCTGTGTGATAGTGATGTTGACTTTTTGCCAACAGATGCGATAGTGCCAAAACTGCTGATATTTATAGCCTCCATCTAACCAAGCAAACCAAACCTCAAATTAAGTCTGTACACCTAATGTTTCACAGATTGAGTATCTTCAGTTATGATCAGTTTGCTTAAAATAGTTGGTAAGCAGATTATGTAGGCTTAAATAGAATTTTACCACTGAAATTCCCAATGCTGGAGACTGACTCCTCAGAAAAGATTAAGTGTGGAACAAACCTGTTGAATCTGTGAGCTTGCCTTCCAGCCATACTCCAAAGAGTTTACTCCAATTGCCTCCATAACACACACCCACAAACCACCACCCCCAGTCTGGAGCTCTCATAATTACAGAGTGAGAGGGGGACGTGCAGGATTGTGTTAGATTTCTAACCAGTCTAATACAATTAATTTGTCTCTGTTTTTGCAACGATAAAGGCACTGTAGGACTTCCTTGTCTTATTTCAAATGTGTTTGAGAATTGCTCCTGTTCAGAACATGACTGTGGGAATATGACTGTTTTGTTCCAAAACTCTGGAGATTTTGGAACAAAAGGAAACAAGACAATTTTCTTTAGAAAAGTGATATATCATCTAACACTTGTCACTATAGTTTTGCTCTAGAAAGAGCACTGTAAAAGTAACGTTTTTTTTCTGATCTCCCAAAATTAGTTATGGTGACAGTTTATCAGGATTTGTAGGACCTCTTCAAATGAGACCTAAGTACTGATTATCTACAAAAGTAATCCCTAATTTATGAAAGCAGAGAGAGTGGAGTCAGTGGGACATTTTACCAGAGGAAATAGCATGAAACTGCAATAACACAGGAATGTCTTTGGCAAGCAATAACCCCTTGTAGTATACTAGAATTCTGTTTGCAGAAGTTTAATTAGATTCATTAAAATTATTCAATACGACCTCTTTCTACATAATGTGATGAATTTTGGAATTTGCCATTGTAAACATGCAATCTATTATATAATTAATAATTAGAAATGTTAGTTTATGAAGACATTGCACAAGCCCACTTTGAAAACTGAGGTCTTCTCTCCAGTGTATTTATCTCCATGCAGCTCAATTTATCTCCTAAACAAGGATTTCCTAATAAAATACTGACTTAGCAGGAATTCCTTGAACTATTCCAAGGTTGTTCAGCACAGTCATTAATCATGAGGCATTTTCGAAACCAAGGAGAAATTCAAACTGTAACATAAACCTGTTTTCAACAAAGAGAATGAATTGACACTCTTTCAGTTCCTGTCAGATTACAAATGATGTCTGAACTGAATTAATGAAAGAATGTTTCTGTCACCTTTGCTCCTGTGAGAAGATTTGTATTGCTTGTTTGCTTGGTTTTGTTTATCATGGGTAACTCTTTAAGTGCTTCACTAGTTATTCAATTGTCCTTGTCATAATATTACCAAACCTAAATTTGAAGTTCTGCAGATAGGCTGTGTCGCTGCTATTTACACAGAGGTTTCTACATAAACCACTTAAGTGGAGCACTTGAAATAAAAGCTGTGTTTACTGGTTTGCTTTCTGGATGGGCAACACTTTTGTGCCCAGAGGTTTCTGGCTTTTAACAAGAGTCTGCTTGAAAACTTTTGCTTTGTGTGTTTAAATTGGTTGTTTCATCTTAAAACTTTAAAACTTGGGCTGTTGGTTGACAGGCTGGAATTTTTAGTATGTATGCTTGTGAAGAAGGCTTTGCCACTGGAGGGAGAGATGGCTGCATTCGGCTGTGGGACACTGAGTTCAAACCAATTACTAAAATTGATCTCAGGGAGACCGAACAAGGATACAAAGGTAATGAGCTATTCCTTTAATGGTTTTTCACATATCTGGATAATGGATTGTGACAGTATTTGATGTGAAGCATAGATGTCTCTGCATACTGCTGATTTTTTTTTATTTAATGACTGTATTTATTTTTGGATCTGTGTTCCCGTCCCTCTCTGACAATTCTGTAACCTGTGGAGTGTTCCATGGTTCATGATATAAACACAGGGATGAAATCACTGCTCCCCCCCCATGCAAATGCAAGAAGATAAGTAAGAACTAATTACACATCCTTAAGATGGGAGAATGAAGTTAGCCAATCCTTACTTAATTAACTACTTGCAATTCATTTAACTAATTGAGATTTTTGGAACCGAATACTCAGAGATGCTGACCATCTGAACACTCCACTCATGCACTTGGAATGGTAGCACTTGGCAGATTTGTTGGAGAGAATGTTTTTGAGCTGGTGATAATCACATTTGTTGAATCTAATCCTGCTTCCTGTGAGCTCAGTCATCACTTTATTTTATGCTTTGAAGCACTTATGATCTCATGGATCACAATGCACACTTTATCAAGGGTATAGTGTTCACTCATGGAATTTAGCCCTCAAAAAGTTGTCCAAGACACCCAAGCAGCAGTCCCTATACTCTGCAATCCTGTCTTTATGTAGTTTTTTGCAGCTCAAATCATAATGTTTAGCATGAATTTCAAGAAAACAGTAATAACAAATAACACAAAAGCAAAGATCTGGGCAAGTGAAAACTGCCTTTGAGGTTACTCCAAACATCTGGAATTGGGGCTTCATTTTCAGTTGTCATTGGCACTGATGAATTTAAGCACATCTGTAGCCTCGAGCAGCGGTGCAGTCTTAATGCTTACCTGGGACCTTCTGTCCCTCTCTTTCAGTTATTTTTCTAAAGCATTTTGCAAAGGCATTGTCTGTCAAACAAACCCTGAGAGCAGATAATCTTTCTTCATGTGCAGTATGTTCACAGACAACATTGCCTTTCCCACATCTAAAGGTGTGTTTGTATTCTAAATCTTAACAATGTCCATCTTCCACCAAATTCCAATCTGAATTCCATTGTGTGGTCATTGGTGTGTACCAAGAAGGAAATGAAAGTCAGAACCTCAGTATGAATTTAACTAAGTCATAAAATGGCATTAGAAAAATTAAAAGCTGTTGGAAAAGGACAGGAAAATAAATTAGGATTAATTTAGCTTTCTTAGGAGATGAGAATATTTTATTTACGTGACCAGTATTTTACTGCATTATGTATTTGGTTCCAAAAAATGTGAAAATGATGGTGTGGGTGACCTTGACTGCATGACAAATGGAGTTTTATTCATTAACATCTCACAGCATCTAGATCTACTATCCAAATGTTTTTTCATGTAGTGGAACAGAAAATACAAACCCTGCAAGCAGTTGACCAGAGAGTGCTACCAAATTGATCAGCCTGCTGAGAGGGTGTTTTTAAGTTTGTGGGCAGTAAAATTCCAACTGCAAAGTAGGGATCAGATTTGTGGAATAAGATCAAATTCTCTTAAAGTTATACAAAGCAAAATTCTGTTGGTTTGGGGAGAAGGGATATCTTTTTAATGTTTATTTTAATAATCCATTTTGATTAAAGTAGAGAAGTGTGATAAATGGGCACAAACCATTTAAATTCACTATTAAGATTTTATTTGAGTCCATGAAAAAGTAAAGCTCTGGAAAAAGGAATAAACCAGCTTCAGTCACAGGAACCCCTTGGCTAATATAAAATTTAGATCTTTAAATCCTGTGAAATGGAGCTGGTTTTTAAATTCCCAAGGTGGGCAGCAAGCATGTTTTCTCAGGATTGAGATTTCTCTTTGTGTGCCAAATGGAGAAAATCAGACAGAACTGCCTTGAGCTTTGAATCATATGGGATGTTCTGTGTGAGCCCGTGCCCAAGATGTCAGTTGGGAATGACCTCTGGAATTCCAGCAGTGTTGGCTGTGGCCCTCTGGCACAGCTGGCACTGAGGGCAGCTCCTGCTGTGCCCCCAGGCCTGTCCATCCGCAGCGTGTGCTGGAAAGCCGACAGGCTCCTGGCAGGGACGCAGGACAGCGAGATCTTCGAGGTGCTCGTGAGGGAGAGGGACAAGCCCATGCTGATCATGCAGGGCCACTGTGAGGGGGAGCTCTGGGCCCTGGCAGTGCATCCCAAGAAGCCTTTGGCAGTCACTGGCAGCGACGATCGCTCCGTGCGGTAAGGCTGCACTGGTTTTGTTGATTTCATTACTTCAGATGTACCTTAATTTGTAATGGATTGACTTGCTGGCCTTATGGTCAGACTCTGTTAAGATAAAATTCCCCCTCCCCCTGATTTTTTCTTAGCAACTTTGATTTTTCTCTCTAGTTTTCATATTTGGGTGCCACACATCATGTAAAAATAATCAGAATTTATGTTCAAAATGTGCTGGATTTATATCTTCTGCTTGTATTATTGATTTATTCCTGCTGTGTACAGGGGATCTAAATGGCGAATGGTCACCTAATACTTCTCTTCTAGTAATATGAAGCAACAGCTTAAAGCCTAAATACTTTTGTTCAGTGTTTTACTCAGAAGGTATCTGCCTCAGCCTCAAGTATTTAGGAAATCTGATCTAAAACCAATTCAGTTAAATTGCCATAAAATTAGGTTAATGAAAATGCACCGACATCATAAGAGGAAATGGAGGGACAGATACTGATCACTTCTGTCACAACCAGTGACAAGACCCAAGGGAACAGGTGACGCTAAGTCAGGGGAGGTTTAGAATGGATATTAGGAACAGGTTCTTTCTCAGAGGTGGGGGGGAGGCATTGACCAGGCTCCCAGGGAATGGTCACAGTCCTAAGGCTGCCAGAGCTCCCGGACTGTGTTTGGACAATGCTCCCAGGGATGCACGAGATAGGATTACTGGGGTGTCTGTGTAGGACCGGGAGCTGGACTGGTGATCCTGATTGGGTCCCTTCCAACTCAGGATATTCTGTGATCCTGTGTTTAGTTACACCGCTTGTGTCTTGAGGCTTTGCAACAGTATTTTAAAATTTTGTCCACATATTTGTGGACATTGTCACAAATAGGATGCTCCTTTTCCTGTCTGTGTTAAAAGCGGGCATATTGATTAGCCTCAGGGAGAAAAAAGGCATTTTGCTGTGCATATTAAGACTTGGCTGTAGAGTTTGGAGGTCCAGCTCAGACTCTTCCTGAGTCCACACCCACAGAGTTGCTGTGTGTTCTCACCTGAGCATGGACTGCTCAGTGAAAATGATTATTTATCTGTGATTAAAGAGATAGATTTTTGGCACTCAGGAAAATCCCTATCTCCTACCATATACTCAGCTTCTGACTACTGCTTCTTCAGATTGCACATTATGATTCACCTCTGCCTTGAGACTTGCTGCTCAATTGGGATTTTTTCTTCCCTTTCAGTCTTTTCACTTGTACTGGTTTCCTGTACCTGCCATCCCTCATCTTATTCTAACCCCATTTAAAATCCAAGTGTGAAACCCACAGAACTGCCAGTTGTTCTCTACACTGTGTTTTCTCCCTGCTTCCCACAGGAGAATTATTTCTTTCAGTTTCTGCAATGCACAAATGGTCTAGTCTGCTGGGGTTTGCCTGCCCAGTGTTACAGACAGGCACAAGTGTCCTGGCAGGATGCAGGTCAGTTCTGGAGGAAGGACTGCAAAGCTGGGATTAGCATTGCACTGCCCTCAAGCCAATAAGCTCCATTAAGATGGGATTTCTTGTCTTGGGCTCATCCTGTTGTGAGCAGAGTAATTCAGCTCCTGGAGCTGGAGAAGGTGCTGCTGACTCAGAGCCTGACCCAGCTCGTGCCCCTCCAGGAAGCACTGCAGGATGATCTGTGTGCACATCAAACCTTGATTAGTGCTGCTCTTATCATTCTTATCTCTGTTAGAGCAGTTATGATATCCCTGATGTCTTTGGGTATGCCATTCTCTCAAGTCTGCAGAGATTTTACTGCCCAACATCACACATCTTTGAGCTGTTCGAGCACTAGAGAGGATGAGATTTGAATGCTAGTGGTTTTTTTTTATAGACTATGGCTTCATGTGAGGAATTCCAGTGAGTATGAGTACTTTCATTAAGATAAAAAAGTACACAAAAGGATTTTCCTACAATTTTTCTGTAATACTTAAATTGCATCAACCAGATGTTTCTGTATTGCCCTTCATTGGGTAATTTTTCTTAGTATTTGATTATCACACTATTTTTCAAAGAGTGGGTATGTAATAGAAATCTTAATTGGTTTAGAAATAAAAGTATTTAGTGAATCAGATGGTATTCCTGTGTCTGGGATGTCTAAATGAGAAGGGGAGTTGTTGTGTTTTTCCCTAGCCTAACTGAGAGAAGTCTCTAGCCAAATATAGGTTTCTAACATTTTAAATTTCCAAAGCAAACCATCTCAGCTAGGAAAGCTGCCTGCTCCCTGTCTCTTACCACAGAAACAGGGAAAAACTGTCATTCTCTGAAGGCATAGAGAATTATTTATTACATGTATTAAATAAACTGTCATGTTTTGCAATTAGGCTTCCAGAGTATTGGACAAACTGATTTATGAGGATGCAACAATTTTCTTCAAAATCTTTCCAAAGCCTTCCTGGTTCATTCTTGTTATCTTGGGCTCACAGCTTCTGCCTTGAGAGACTGCAAGATTCTTGATCGTACTTCATGTTTGTCTTTGAATACAGTTGTAATGTCTTATATTCATTTATTTTCCACATTCTTTTCAGGCTCCATGCAAGCCTGTGTTTATGCTGTTTATTCCAGTGTCAGCAACAGAACTTCTTCTCCTTTGGAGCCTCTTGTGTTCCCAGTGCCTCTCAGCTCCCTGTGCAGAGCTGAGCTCAGTGACATCCATGTCCTTGGTGCCAGTGACTTCAGTAAAAATGGGAATTGTTATTGTTCTAGAGCTTTTACTGTAACTTCCATCCAGCCTGGATGTTCTTTTCTGTCCAGCTTTGATCTATAACTCGGTCCAGTGTCATGTTACAGTTCTTGCACAAATTGTTCTTTTCTCCAGTTTAGCACATAATCACATCTAGTAATTCATAATTCACATATTTTACTGAAGATGCTAACAATACATTACATTGATGGTTCTATCCTCAAAACAAAAACAGTTGTCTTAATTTCTCTACCCTGAGAAAGGTCTTTTATGCATTTTCCCCATTATTTAAATTTTTTTTAAAATTTCTAAGTCTTGCAGACTACTGAGATCTAATGGGTCAACCTGTAGTGATTTGGGAAGCTCCTTCCATTCCTTCAGAAAAATGTAGGGGCATTATTTGCCTTTATCTTAGGACATAATTTACTGGTTGATTTTTTTTAATTGCATTGATATGAATGAGGGAATCAATATGCAGTTTTATCTCCTAGCTCATTCAGAGTTAGGCCAAGAAAGTCTTCCCTGTGGTTGGAATGTTGATGTTCCCTGAGTGTTGCTTTTAGTGGAAAATTCGCTCTGAGCTGCATTGGCCCTTCATGTCTACAAGAGCTTCATTTTTATTATTCATTTTGGGGAATTCAATAAGATAACACTAAATCATTATGTAATTGAGCTTTACTCTGTTTTCTTCTACCACAGTTGTGTTCAGGTTGAAAGGAGCTCAATCCTTTACACAATATTAACACAAGGGGTGTGTGCAAGTGATTTTTCCAGCTGAGTTAGACCTTTGGGGTTCCTCTTGAAGACACCCAAATCCTGGGCAGTCAGGAAAAGCCCCCTCCTGGTTTTCCCTTCCCTTTGGGGCAGGTTATGGAGCCTTGCTGACCACGCCTTGATCGCTCGCTGCAATATGGAAGAGGCTGTACGGAGTGTGTCCTTCAGTCCTGATGGATCCCAGCTGGCACTTGGGATGAAGGATGGCTCCTTCATTGTCCTCAGAGTAAGGTAAGATGAGAAACTGCTGGGCATCTTATCAGAAGAAAAAGAAATAATAATTGCAGATGCATCCATATCCCTTTTAAGAGGTGGTAGTTTGGCAAAGAGGAGAAAATGTAATTAATTTCAAAGTATTAGCTCTTAGGAATAATGCTGATAAAATGTAAGATTTTCAAGTTTGGCTCTTTTCCTGTAGTCTGAAGTTATACAGGTATTTAGTGAGAAGAAATGTGCATAACAGAGAGAACATAATTTGGAGAGGGTTCTTCTTCACAGATGATGTATTTCCTGTTGTACACATACCAGGCAAAATAATTTGTGATCAAAAGATTTTTTTAAGTACTTTCAAGATAAACCTGAGTTCTACTTTTTGTGTAAGTGGGAAGCCTTTTTCTACATGGCTGCATCTTAAGCATTTTCTGTCTGAAATTCTGTTACGGAGGGCACACAAAAGCAGGTAGAGCCTTAAATTTGAAAGAAATAGAATGAAATAGCCAAACCTCCAGTATGATTTCAAAACACAAAAGCTGTTCTAATTGATACCTGGAAGAGTTTACCCCCTCCTGACTATTCTCTATATGTTTGCCAAACATATACTTAAAATACTTGGAACTTCAAACTGATAGGAGGGAAAAGCCTGGGAAAACCCCTATAATGCTCTGCTTTAATGACTTTAACAAAATTTAAATGAGCTGTTCATATTCATTTAAAAGCCTTCCCAATTACTATTTTTCTAAAGAAGTTAATCATCTTTGTCTCCCAGTAATCTTGTCCTTTTTCTGATGCCTCCTAGAAGTCTCTGCCTTGGCTTAGGAAAGGTTCTCCTTTCAGGACCCTGAAAGGTCCGTGCTCTGTGTGAGGATTTAAAAGATATATTTACAAAGTGTATCTCAATAAATTTGTGTTGGATGCTAGCAGTACTTCATTAGAGCAGGTGAAGAGAATGAGAACATTGTGGACAGGCAGAGTGGTTTCTATCTGCTGGTTAAAAAATGCTTAGAATCAATGGAAGCAATAGGAAGTTATCCACTAAAAAAAAGTATATTTAAAGTGAAATCTAATTTCTGTTGTACAGATGATTCAGTGCATCTATCTTCTTTATCTGTGGATTGCAAATTCCTGGGTTTCCAGTTGTCATTCTCCCCTCTGGCTCCTGCAGGGACATGACCGAGGTCGTTCACATCAAGGACCGCAAGGAGGTGATCCATGAGATGAAGTTTTCCCCAGATGGCTCCTACCTGGCCGTGGGCTCCAATGATGGGCCCGTGGACATCTACGCCGTCGCCCAGAGATACAAAAAAATTGGGGAATGCAACAAGTCCTCCAGTTTCATCACCCACATCGACTGGTCTGTGGACAGCAAGTTCCTGCAGACCAATGATGGTGCTGGGGAGAGGCTGTTCTACAAGATGCCCTGTAAGTTTACAAGGGGCTCGTGTTATGAACAATTAAATTTTGGTTTTTGTTTGAAGAGAACATCACAAATATGATACAAATATTACAGGGGAAAGTGGAATTTCCTGGCTGGAACCTGGAGAAATACCCACTGCTCGTTTTTTAAATCAGTACTCACTAAATATCCTCAGCTTTAAGGAAAAGATGTCTCTGCTCTGTAAATTATGTCTTTTTTCATAGCAACTTTTACACGTTGACTCGCACTCAGGTAACTACCAAAGCCCCTCTGTCCCTATTGTCCTTCCTTGGTGAATGATTCCTGTTAGTGATCAGAATATTTTTAAGAATGTAACTAAAAATAGGAGAACTGTTTGAGTCAGCTTGAATTGCTGAGGTTCTCAATGTAAAAGCTTGTTCGTAAAAACAACACGGATAACTAATTGGCTTATTCTCAATTTTATTTGAGAATGCTTTCTAATATTTAGAGGAAATTTTTGCAGAAGAGAGCTTTAGAAATAAAATTTTGGGCTCTTTTGAGTTAGTTTGGCAGCCTTCAATCAACTCTAATCCAGCCCCTGGAAGTAAAAAGTACCACAGAATGGCTGACTGACCAAATACTCACATTTCAGGGCCTTAATGTGGATCAAAAGTTCCTACTAGCACATGAGCATGATTTAAAATTATGTATTATTAACCTTCTAGCACTTGAAAGTGTTTGAGGGACTCATGCTATTCACAGTACTTTCTACTGAAGGCATTTCTTTGGTAGGTTTGGCATTATGACTTTCCACTTTCATGTTTTTAATCATGCCAATCCTAATTAGCATACTAAGTCTCATTAGAATTCTAATTATTTCTAATGCAGCTGCATTAGAACTCCTCAGATGTGTGATGTCCTCAAACACCACAAATGAGAGATTATAGAAATTTAAAGAAGATTGTGACTCTTCTTAATTGAGGTTAAAAATTAATTACAACTAGAATACCCAGATAAATATGATGAAAAGAAATAGAGTTTCTAAAAAGTAAATTATGAAATTGGTTTTTCACCTCCACACTTTCAGCTGGGAAGCATCTAACGAGCAAAGAGGAGATCAAAGGAATTCACTGGGCCTCATGGACCTGTGTGATGGGATCTGAAGTGAGTGGAATCTGGCCAAAATACACAAACGTCACAGATGTCAACTCTGTGGATGGGAATTACAACAGCTCTGTGCTGGTGACTGGCGATGACTTTGGGCTGGTGAAATTATTCAGATTTCCGTGCCTAAAGAAAGGTAAGGTCGAATTTTATATGTCTGAAAAATGCAAGACTAACCTCAACACCCTATCAGTGTATTTTGTAATGGTGGTTTTTCATTCTGGTATAAAATTCCAATTAGTTTGTGCACAATTCCTGCAAGTCTGAATGGAAACAGAGACCAGACTTTAACCCGCTCTGTGTAGCTGTTTTCACAAGTGTTGAGAATGTGTGGCTGCTTCCTCAGGATTTGCACTGTACCAAGCATAAAGTCAGCAATCCAAATCAAACAACCTTTTGCCTTTATGTGTGCTTCAGTGTTTAATTTGATATCACATCTCCGTGTATTTTCAAAATTTGTGTTTTAGGAAAAATGTAATGCATGTGTTGAGTTCACACTGGCATTCATGGCCAGAAAGGTGAAAATTAAACCTTGTGTGTGTCTGGTACTTCTTGCCAAGATTTAAGTACTTTTCTGACAACTGAAGGATATAATCCATATTATTTTATGCCACTTATTTTTATATAATAATTACCTTTGTATCACCATATCAAAAGAGGCATTTGAGTATTTTTTGGTTTTCAAATTTCACAAGTGTATGTTTCTATTAGGAATCTAACTTCATTAGTTATAAGGTTAATTTTATCCCTTACGTACCAACAGTTCTCTTGTTTTCAGGAGCTAAATTCAGGAAATACGTTGGCCACTCAGCCCATGTCACCAATGTGCGCTGGTCCCATGATTTCCAGTGGGTTTTGAGCACAGGAGGTGCTGATCACTCCGTTTTTCAGTGGAGATTTGTTCCAGAAGGGTTAACCAATGGGATCCTGGAAGCCTCTCCACAAGGTAAACATCATTTCTGTTCAAGTATTCATTAAATTAAATCAGCAGAGAATGAAGCACTGCTGGAAGAGCTTTTATTGATTTAACAGGAAAAAAAGTCATAATTCTTTGGAATTGAGTATACTCAGCATGTTTGAGACATTGAAGCTTTCAAAGACAAGCCCCGGTTTGGGCCACATTAAAAACTGCTGCAGTCTTCAATATTTGGGAATGTATAAGCAGCATTCCTCAAGGTGTGTGAAAGAAGACATTTAGAGGGACTGGATAATTAAATTTTCAACCTTAGCCATGTAACTTGCATTCAGAAGTCACACTACACCTGTTTAATTGTATAATTTTATTTTGCAGTGCAGTCTTACATATCTCACAACAAATTTCTCATATTTATGCAGTAGCTGTACTTCAGATAGTCTTCTTGTTATAGTCATGATCTTTATAATATCCTACCAAAGCCATATGAGCTGTGTCGTGGTTGTTGCTAAAATCAGGATTCCCTGTAGCAGAAGGGCAAAATTTCACTCTGTACATGCACAATCTTTTCTACATTACAGCAAATATTTTAAGCACAAAGATTGATAAGTGAAAGCTTTTATTTGTCGTTTCTGTGTTTGCTCTTCAGACCCTGTTTTGAAAGCAGAATTCTTTGATGCTGGAACTATACCAGTAGCTGTTCAGTGATTTTGCTTCTCTCTGCCACCTTCCTGCCCCCGGCAGGGAAACAGGAGAGACAGAAATGAAGCCTGACACAGTCAGCTCCCATAACTTCTACTAGCTGCTTGAGCTTCCAGACTTCTTGAATACTGCTTTGCCCATAGTCTAAATTATATAAAAATATCACATACTATTTTCCTGTGATTTTATGTGTTCTGTATATTGATATTTTTTTAAATTTAAAGCAGAGGGTGGTGTTGATTCCTACAGTGAGGAATCAGATTCTGATTTATCCGACGTGCCAGAGTTGGATTCTGACATTGAGCAGGAAGCTCAAATCAACTATGATCGCCAGGTGAGTGTGAAGTAACACACAGGGCCAATTACCTGGCAAGTTCCCATCATTGCTCAGCAAAGAGAGGAAGTTTACTGCTGACTCATAGACTGCTCTCAGTTATTTTGATGGTATTCAGCTGACTATGCAACCAATATACATAAACCCTTGAGCTGGGTTGCATTTGAAAGGGTTTGGAGAAAAGAATTTAAAAGTGTTTTGGGGATTGGAAGGTGATCTTTAAGGTCCCTCCCAACCCAAACCACTCCATGATTTGGACCCTATTTACAAGTCACTTGAACCTGATTCCAAGAGCTGTTGTCATTCGAGTTGAGTATTGCCTGTCCCCTTGTCCAGTGACCTCTCAGGTGCAATGTGGAAAGGTCAGAAATTCCTCAGAGCAGGACTGGGATCTTGTATTAAGGGGGAAAATCACAGAGTAAGTTGGTTCATGTTGATTTAAGGGATTTAATGGGTGGCGTGGGGCTGCTTTCTGGAATGTGGGAAATTCACCTCTAACATTCTGGGCTTTAGAAAAGGACATCCTTTATATTTTCACCTCATTTTCTAGACTACAATAAATTGCATAGATCCTTCTGCCAGCAGTTTCTTTCACCTGTTTATTACAGAGATCAATAATGATTGACAATTTAAACAGATTTTGCCAAATTCTCTCCCTTTTCTCTCATTCACTCCCAGTTTCACTGGAGTGCTGGTCATTCTCCTCCCCTCCTCCTCCTCATTTTCTGTCTGTATTCAAATCAGTCATCATCCTCCTCCACACTGTCTGTATGTCAAAAAGGACATCTGGGTTTAAAAACTAAAAGTGACAATATCATTGCAGGCAGTTCAACAGCAATATTCCAAGCATGTAAATGCATGGAAAACCAGAAGAATCTTTAAAATAGCATCTCTGATGGTAAATGTGAGACAGCCCCAAGCAGAAGCTTAATTTAGCATTTTGTTAAAGGAGATAATTGACAAAAACACAGGGAAATAAAAACATTAATATTATTTTGAGAATTGCGGTTTGGTTTGGGTTTTTTTTTCTTTTTAATATTATGGCTGAAGCAGCAGAGAGGATACTACATTTTGAGATGCATCAGAACATGATGCTCCAGTATTTTGTTTCACAGAATTTGTTTCTTTCTTTTCCTTCCTCCCAAAAATCCAGTGTTGCTTCTTGGAAGTCAGATTTCTGTGGGAGTGGAAATTTCATTGTCCATTTGTCCAAGAAATGTAGGCACAGAAAACAAACACTAAAGCTACATTTCAGCATTGTGATGGATTTTGTTTGGGAATGCTTCAAACATCTTTAGCAGAGTTTTAGCATTTCTAAAGTGTTTAAATGGAAGGTATTTTGTGTATTTATAGATCTGTAATTGTACTTTGGGATTCTGGACACATTGGCAGGTTGCAGAAGTGGTTTTGGTTCCTGTGTATTTCACCATAATCTTGAGATAGAAGTAGTTCTTCATGCTCAGCTTTGAGTTTGGACACTGAAGCACAGATGAAATTAAAAAACACCTGGAGACTCCCAGTCACCATTTGCATTGCTTTTCACTAAGTGATACTGGAATCTTCTAAAAAGAATATGCTCTGCTGCTCCAGATTGCTGTTCTGGACCACCTGGATCAGGAGAATTCATTATCCAGAAAACATTTATCATCATCTGAAGGCTGGGGACAATAGTGCCTTGCTCTGCATTGTAACACTGTACATCACATTAACATATATTAAATTTCATGCTTAAAGTCATTTTCACTCATACATACAAATATTTAGAAAACCAGAGATGTGCAATTAACTTAAGCAATTCTTCTTTAGGTTTACAAAGAAGACCTACCTCAGCTGAAACAGCAAAGTAAAGAGAAAAACCATTCTGTGCCCTTCCTTAAAAGAGAGAGAGCACCTGAGGACAGCTTGAAACTGCAGTTTATACATGGGTAGAGTAATATCAAATATTTGCTATTTTTTATTGCTTGATATTGCTGGGATATTCTAACAACTCGGAGCATAAGCAAAACATTTTTTGGTGCTTGCCCACAATTAATTTGTTTGTCATTGTTACTGTGGTAATTCTTAGAATATCAGATGTAGATTTTCTATTTTCAGTAGTATTTCAGGCTGGATAGAGCTCTGAGAAGCCTGGTCCAGTGGGAAAGGTCCCTGCCTATGGAAGGAGGTGGAACTGGGTGATCTGGGTGGAACTGGTCCCTTCCAACCCAGACTATCCCATGATTCTCTTTGTTAAGGAACCAGGGGAAGCTTATAACACTGATAAATAATACATCACTGTTGAGTTTTATGAAATTACATTTTATACTTGTTGCTCACTACACCTGATGTTTTCTGGATTCTCTGTTAATTGCTTGTGATAGCTGTGATTCGTTAAAATGCCTGACAGATTTCTGCTCCAATCCAATTCCTTGTGAAGCTTACCTGGACACAATACTATGTAAAAGATACAGCCTTTTTGTGAAATCAGTGCTGATTTAGGAACTGAGTGCAAAGTAGCCCTTGAGAAGATTCCTGAATTCCTGGTCTTGGGGGGAGCAGTCTCTGTGATACTTCTGAGCTCAAGCTGTCACCACAGGACTCCTTTCTTTTAACACACAAATGATTTGTAGCACAGATTTCCCAAGCAGTTGTGGGGCAGCCACAAGGTGTTTGGTGTTTGCTGCAGGTACAGGGGCTATGACTGCAGGAACAACCTGTTCTACACGCAGGCAGGGGAGGTGGTTTATCACATTGCCGCTGTGGCCGTTGTCTACAACCGGCAGCAGCACTCGCAGCGCCTCTACCTCGGCCACGACGACGACATCCTCAGCCTCAGCATCCACCCCATCAAGGACTATGTGGCTACTGGGCAGGTGGGGAATTCAAAGTGATAGCAATACTATTTTATATAGAATTAGAAAAAATGCCATTCTCCGTTTTCTTAAGTGCATTGTTTCCTCCTAAATATGGGCAAACTGAATGGTTTTTCCTATTTCCCTGCCAAAACTGTTGGAGGTGATTATGAAACCGTTCCTATATAATATAAACGCTGCCAGTCTTGTGCTGTGGCATTCAAAAATCTTATATTTACTTTTAATCTCTCATGTAAAAACACAGGAGCTGCATTTTAGATCCTTCCTAGGTTTTGGACTTTGGTGACTCAGTTACAGTATTTTTGTACTGTAGGAGCTTTCAACAGCCTTGCTCAGATAAAAGCTGATGGGCACTTTCCTGATATCTGGTACTGAATATGATGTGTTCAGTGTGTACATATTCATTTAGACATTAGTTTAAATGATACAATGAATATTCTGCTGGCTAGTGATAGTTTTAGAGACGATCCACTGATATTTCTCTGAATGAGAAAATAAATCTTGAAAAATATAAAATAGGGCAAAAGACAAACCTCTGTATAGTTTTAAAGATATGATAATGCTAATTACTGTTGTTGGCTTTGAAATTCTGTGTGCAGAGACCCTAATTAACCCTCTGATCTAGGTTGGAAGAGATGCTGCTATCCATATTTGGGACACCCAGACCCTGAAATGTTTGTCATTGCTCAAAGGCCAGCACCAGAGAGGAGTGTGTGCACTGGATTTTTCAGGTAAGCCACAGCCTATGTTTATCTAAATGATTTATTTAAAAGCAGTCCTTGTGATGCAATGTTAATTCAAAGAAGTGTAAAATTACAGCCAGTACCAATTTTACATGGAAGCTTGCTGACTTGGGATAAAAATAGTGTGTGTAGTGAAGTCAGTTGTGGGCCTTTGGTCACTAGGTCAATGGTTGATTTTGGTGGTGTCTAGTAGATAATGCCAAGTGTGCAGCTAGAATTGTGATCACTGTCCACATAGTGGTGTGAGAATTTTAAAGCAGGCAGGATGGTGACTCAAAGCATATGAATGAGTTGGAAATGTCACCTCTGGGCTCATCCAGTTCTTTGCATTTGCTAACAATTGCCACGTTTTTCAGTTAGTTTACAGAAGAAGTAAATATGACAAACAGTTGTCTGCTGTCTCTCCCACAGACAGCTTGTCTTTCCAAGCTGGCTGCCATAAGCTGTCTCAGTTTTTAAGGGATAATTCCTGTGTGCAGCACTGAAGAATATCATCCATATGGAGGGGACATAAATACTACTGGCTTGAAAATTCATTCTCCCTTCTTCTATTTAAAAAATTAAGATATTACTTTATCTGAACTATCCTCTACTTGATCTGATTTTTTTGTTCAATTAAACATAGCTCATTTCATATTCTACTCTCCAAATATGTGGTAAGAATTTATTAGGATGTAGATCACATTTGTAAAACAAGGCTCTACAAAAGAAGTTTGACTTCCACAAAGATAAATCTGTGGAACTCGGTCATATTGCATTATCAGGAGAGGAGCCATGGTGTTCATCCAAGAGCTGGAATTCAAATGTGAAATTGCTGACCCACTGTGGTATGTAAGCTCATTCTGAAAGGAGATAAAGTGCCAGAAGGAGGAAAAATGGATAAGGATGATTTATGTGCATAGATGTCAATAAACTTCTTGTTAAGATCCTTAATTGAACAAATGTTCCTATATTTGAAAATACTTTGTGGTTTGCATTTTTAACACCAAGTAAATTCCTGTCCAAGTAGGAATATTCTGGATCTTGGAACCCATGTACCTGTAAAGAATAAACTGGCCAAATATTCTGTGGGCATAAATATGTAAAAAAATACTAAATGTCTTTTAAAAAGTAGCCACCACTCAATATTACAGTGTTGCTTTAGGACCTGACCCCGAGAATAATGCACACACTGCATTCCTGACTGGCATTAACTAGGATTCTTGGCATAGACAAGGACAGAGAGCTGAGCAAATGTGCACCTCCCTGCAGCATCAGAAGCTGCACTGCCCTATATAGGGGATTTGCATTGTCTTAATAACAGAGGTTTCAAGATTAGGTTCAGATCACACTATTTGGATCTTAAAGATAGAAATCTGGAGCTCCCAAGATTTTCTAGCTGTAGCTGATGCAGCAGCTGACTCTTTTCCCCCAGTTCTCTCTGCCCTCACTACCTCTCTAAAACATCATCTACTCCCCATTTCTGAAAGCTGAATCCTTCTTGTACAACCCTTCTCATGACACTGTGATTCCAAGAGAATAATTTCATTCCTGCAACGTTTTGTTGTGCCCTCTGGTGGCTAATTTAACATTTATACCTTGGGATATTGTTTGGAAACCTCCTGTTTCAAGTGAATAAAGTTTAAATTGTTGTATTGTCTGGGGATTCTTTTAGTAAACTCAGTTTTGGTTTCTTGTCTTGTATTTTAACTTCTTTTCTTCCTACCTTATTCTGCTTCTTCCACTTGGTCCTGTTTATTTCTTACTGATTCTTAAATTCCCCTCCTCCTTCTTGACTTGCTTCTAGTAGGACTCAGTTATTAAAGTCTGTAAGAACTTAGCCCTATGAACTCTGCAGTAGTTCTGATGGAGTAATTTACACCGGTGACTATTTTTCTTCTTGAAGTCAAATATGCCCAAGCTTAGAGTCCTTCACACCATTCATTTCTATGAGAAGCCCATTCCCAGATCAGTGCTCTTGTTCAGATTCTACCCAGCTCTGCTTCCTCCAACTGTGACTTTTCTACAGTTAAAACTACCAAGCAGGTGATCGGCTCTTCCTACACTCTATAAATTGTCTTGTCATAAGCTGCAGTAATCATGGCCCAGTTTTAAAAACATCATAGAATTTCAGGACAGAATTTTGTCTCTAAAACTTTGTTAGAGATGGTTGTGTTTATCATTATTATATATATACATGTGGCAAGAGTGCCTGGGTACTGTTGAATTATGGATTATTTTATCTTCTGGCTTTACTTCCTCTCATTATCAGTCCTGCTGTGTCTTTCCTGCAGTGGAAGCGAAGATAGCCAGCAGTTATTTTTAGCCTTAAAATTTTATTGTATGTATTTATAGTTTCATCACCCTGCCTATGAACATTTCATACACTAGGAAATCTCTGTACCATTTCAAGCAGAGAAAAGAAGCATTATCTATCAGAAATATTTCAAATAAAATGCAATGTGAATTTAAAGTGCTTGAGCTTTATGAAATTGAATTTCATTGCCTCGTTTGATCCTCCCTATTTTCCTTGTGCTTACACATAGGAATGTTTTGTGTCTGCCTTTGGAAAAGACCTGAACTCCAATTTCTCTATTAGTTTGTGGGATTTTTTGCCTCATTTGTAATGCACCATTAGAAATTCAGTTTGCCATGTGACTGTTGGTTCATTGCCTGTTACATTTTCAGCTAAAGCCTTAGCACCATTAACACTCAATATTGCTTCTGTACAGCTGATGGGAAATGTTTGGCATCTGTTGGGCTGGATGATAACCATGCCATTGTGTTTTGGGACTGGAAAAAGGGAGAAAAGCTGGCAACAACCAGGTAAGGATACCCACAGTTTAAAATCCCCTCTGATTACTTTTTTTTCCTGAATAACATCATTCACATTTTTTCTATGAACAAAGAAATAAAGCAGAACTCCCCTCTGAAAACAGGATGGTGTTTCAGAGAAACATATCCAGAATAAAAATCTGGGGGTGCACAGCCCAGTGTTTGGAAATTGTGAGAACTGTTTCTGTCAGGCGTTCCGTATACTTTCTGTTGAGAGAAGCTACATTAGCACTGTAGTTTGTTTCAGGCTTTTCAAGTGAAGTTTAATATTTTCTTCCAGTTTCGTGTCCTGGCTTAGGGCTGAAGTCACTAGTGGTGTAGTTTCCTTTATGTGTTTGAAGACATGCTGGCTTCCATCAATGACCAGATCACTTTCTAAAAAGAAAAAAGAGTTCCCTCTATTCTATATATACATGTATTAATTTTTTCTCAATCCCTGATGATCCAGCCTTTCTTCTGAGGCAGCTTTTTCTGAGCTCTTTAATTGCCAACTGAAAGCTCAGTTAATAACCCAACAATGAAGAGTTCTTTGCGCTTTCTTGAAGGGACCAGCGCTGGGAAGAGAATTGGATTAAAGTTACATGTTTGCTAGTTTGCACTCAACTATTGGATTGCAGCAGTAGTTGTTCAGTGAGGGAGAATCAAACTGTTTGAGAACCTGCTTTCTGGACAAAGGAAGTGTGCCCCTGGTCACTAGGATTGAGCAGAATTCCTGTGAATGTGGATGCATGTACCAGAAAGACAAGGAGAGAATTCCATATATTCTCTGCAACCATGTAACGTAGCACTGCTCAGTAGAAATTGTTAGTATAGCTGCAAAAAAGTGCCTGTGAAAGGTAATTTACTTTACTATATGGTAACATGTTGCAGAAGAAATGAGATTTTTCTGGTGGCAGCAGTCTCTCTTAGTAGTGTACCTTTGCTGAATAAATCAGTGTTTTACTCCATGTGCGTGTGCCACAGTCTGTTAGCTCTACAATTTTATCTCAGACATCCATTTTATTAGGTAGTGAGGGTTTAAATCCTGTCTAAAATCTGTGCTGGAGGCTTTGCATAGCAACAGCCCTGGCTGTGTTGTAAAACGTGACATTTTCCTGGGCTTTGCAATCCCAGTTCTGCTGTCCCCAGACAGATTGTGCTTGACTTGCAAGCAAAGAAATACTTTATATTTTCCCACGATGACCTTTAAGCTTTTAAAAACAAGATAGTGATAAACTCTGTCACTACCTGGCTGCTGGTGCTCCCAGGACAGATAAAATATGGAGCACTTGGGTTCTTTTCACTATGTAATGCTGCATGTATCCAATGGATCTATAATTGCTAATCTGTTATCTTGGAAATATGCAGGGTCCTCACAGAGAGCAGAAAAATGAACGTGTCTTCTATAAAATGTTCCCATTTAAACTATTGTCTAGATTTTAGCACTGCCTAAAAGCAAGTCCCCTGTTCTGGTGAGCACAGGAGGACAGAGAGACAAAAGCCCTCATGTGGCCTTTGCATGCAAGAATAAAAGAACATCTCTTTACGATCATATGGACCCATATAAACCTGAAAACTGTGTCAATTCACCATATACAGACACTCATTATGTTTATTCTGCAGTTATATTTACTTTTTGTTAATGTTCTTTTTGCTTAATCTTTCTAGGCTGATTTATTTCATCATGACTTCTCAGTTTGGTGGGCTTTTTTTTGTTTGTTTGTTTTTTTGGGTTTTTTTTTTTGCAACATTAAGAACACTCTTATTTATTTGCTCTAATTGTTTCAGAGCTAAATTATGCAGCTTGTTTCACTGTCCTGGCTTTCCTAGCTCCTAATTCCATTAAAATCCTTATTGAGTAAGTTGGAACCAAACACTTCTGCACTGGAGGATGATGTGCTGCAGATGTCAAAGGTGGCCAGGGCTGCTTTGTATCCAGACTGATCCACTAAAAGGGAATACTGACCCTGAGAGGAGTTTCAGAACCACGGGATTTTCTAGATCTGCTGAGCCTGTCAGGAAAGAAGTGACTTAATCCTAGCACAAAATCTGCAGATGTATAGTGAAAAGATTGTGCTTCCTGCTTTGGGGGTTTTATAAAACACTGAGATAGATATAATTAATGCTTTAAACCTGGGAGTATTTTTTCCTTTGATAAGACCCAAGCTTGTACATTTCCATAAGTACATCAACAAGCATAACTTTAGTTACCCAAGAACTAAACCTGGAGGTGAATGTGATGCTGAGTGAACTGCTTCATGGAAGTGAATTGCTTCCAGATTTATAATTAATTATTTTATTTTCCATCTTCGAGCCCATAGATTAAACACTTCCTCGTTTTTCCTGTGAGGGTCTCTTTTAATGCTTATTGAGTTCTCATCCATTTAAATACTTACATTGACCTTTATGTCTTCTTTTAATTGCCTTGACCTTTATTTCCTGCTCCTTTGTTATGACTTAAATGAACTGAAATTCAGTGGGAGAGGATTTTATTCCCCACATTTCTGTAGTCCCCCATGGTGTATGCTCAAATTCTTCCTGCCAACTCCATGAGACAAACTCCCAGAATGAAACCCTTGCAGATTAGAAATACGGCTCTCTGCTTTTTGTTAGATGGGGAAATTATTTATATCAATGATTTAATTAGTTTGAAATGTTAGGTCATCTCTTGCCAAGCTTTTAAAATGTCTACCTCTATTGCAGGGGCCATAAAGAGAAAATATTTGTAGTGAAGTGTAATCCACATCATGTGGACAGACTAGTCACAGTTGGGATGAAGCACATCAAATTTTGGCAGCAAACAGGTACTGTGTTGAATATTTTATATTTGATTATCAAGGGAATTCGTGAATATTTTTAATACAGGAACATCATATTCCCAGTTTAAGAATTTTATTCGTTAAGCCTTTAAATTTTAACTAACTTTTAAGTTTTACCTTTTTTAAGTTTTAACTCATTTAGCCAGTTACCAAAATATTGAAGGGGTTAAAACCCACCTCTGAGTCAGCACATGTCACAATATTGCTTCCTCCTTGGAAAGAATTTCCAGTTAATTTTGTTTAAATTCTAATCATAATATTAAGGCATTATCCTAAGCAAGCATCCTTGGCTCCAAGAAAATCAGGTTCTTATTGAGGATATTTTTATTCAGAACTGGATTTTTTGCTCTTCATGACTTTTTAGATGTGCACACATGATACAAGTACTCAGAACATCTCAAAATTAGGTAGTTTTAAGAACTTCCTATACTTCATACCATAGTTTAAACATTCAAGTGATTCAGGTGCTCTCAGATTAATAATTATTTTTTTCTGGTTTTTTTTTAGTCTTTAGGTTATTTTTGCAGTGATTACATAGGCTTGCATTGCTGTTTGCCAAATTCCATGGTAGAAATGCGCATTAAGCAACATCTTACTCCAATAATAGTCTCTTTGCAATAAAAATGGTGGGAACTTAATGTGGTGTCAGCTGTGAAGCCCACAGTGCCTTGACACAAGGCCACCTATGCAGATGATATTTTGTAATTTTATGTGTATTTTTGTCTAAGCATTGGTTCATGGGCCTTATGGCTGCTTCTGCTTTCTGACCCAAAGTAAGGCTGTGGTGACTGGCTTTTCAGACAACCAGAGGAGGAACAAACCCTGCCATTTATTCTGGGAAAATGCTGCCAAAAGCTCAGGATGCCAGGGGACAACTAAATCAATCTTCTGGTTGTGGTCACCTCTACAGAGAAGCAGCATGGCAGAAGCTGCTGTGGGTAAAAACCATCCTGCCAGACATTGCAGTAGTTGTTTTTGCATGTTTCCTCATCAGATTTCTCTCTTGCTTGGGAAGACAGTCTGAACACCTGAGACTGATCTGCTCCAGAGCTGTCATTGCTGGGTTCACTTTCTTTGGTTGTGCTTTTCCCTTGTGTGCTGCTTTCTGCATTTCCATTATTAGGCAGCCACAGGAGATCTTGGGGTCGAACATTTGTCCTTTACAGCCCTGTGGCTACAAGCCAAACAGAACAGGCCTTGTGCTGCTGTTGCAGGTGGAGGCTTCACCTCCAAACGGGGCACATTTGGGAGTGTGGGGAAGCTGGAGACCATGATGAGCGTCTCCTACGGGCGCATGGAGGAGCTGGTGTTTTCTGGGGCTGCCACTGGGGACATCTACATCTGGAAGGAGACCCTGCTGCTGAGGACAGTGAAGGCCCATGATGGACCTGTGTTTGCCATGCATGCACTGGACAAGGTATCTATCACCTTCCTTCAACTTGATTTTTGTTGCTCTGGATGGATTTTAGAGATGTTTGTGATTAAACAAAGCCAGTAGGAATGAGTTCTGTTATTTGATGGACCTGGATTTGTAAGCGTCCTGTTCCATGTACTGGTACCTGGCCAACAGCTTTCTGACCTCTAAAAATTCAGAATTTATTTCTCACTCTGCTCAGGACTGTGCTTTTTATGTTTGTGTAAACCACAGGAGAGTAATGGCTAACATTCATTGCCTCTTCAAGCTGATCCCAAAAATATTAATGCATTACCAGTTTCCAAAATATGAAATGTGATTTTTACTAATAATATCGTTGTGTCTTAGTCAAGACTTTATATATCCAAAGATTTTGGGTTTTGAGTTAGCTATTCCAGATAACAAAAGAATTCTCTTTCAGTTGGATTAATGCATCTATAAAAGAAATTATGATATTTGCATCACAAAAATGAGCTTAGGACAAAGTTTTGTCCCTGGCAATTTGAAGATAATGTTGATAATGGACTATCCCTTTTGAGGTTATGGTTTCAACTGGAAAAGTAAAGGACGAGAAGAAAGTTAACTGCTAACATTTTTATATATCAAGGTCAATTAAGATCTCTCTGGCTCAATTATTTCTGCCCTAATTGATTGTTCCTAGCTTTCCTATCAATTTTTCTGTTTGATCTTGGCACTGAACGTCCTCTTCACTTAGATTTTTGTTGGTTAGTTATTTATGCTCCTTTGCATTCACTTGACCCAGATAATCTGCCTAGGGAATTAATGAGAAAATTGGTCCCTGATGCATTATTAGAACTTGGGTTGAAGCATCTGTTAAGTCAGTTGAATTTCAAATAACTTGAGAAGCTGTTACTGCCAATTACTGCCTCTTCTAAGGGTAAAACACATTTTTCCATCACTTGTTCCCACATGCAGGCAAATGTTTTAGTCCAGCATTCCTGTTTACATCACTGTGTTCTCCATATGGTTGCAAATCCTTTATAACCCTAGAAAAGCAACTCTAAATCTTGTCCACTTGAATTTTCCCCTCATAGGTACAGACTCCAGTATTTATAGATTGACCCATGAATAAAAATCACGGAAGACTTTACTATGCCTTTGGACGTATCCTTTTGCATCTCTCCCATGAATTCTGACATTTGTGTTCTCCTACTGTGATTATGCAGGGCTTTGTAACGGGTGGAAAAGATGGAATTGTGGCCCTTTGGGATGATACGTTTGAGAGATGTCTGAAGACATATGCTATTAAAAGAGCAGCACTCTCTGCTAGTTCTAAAGGTACTGGCTTTCAGTGTGTTTCAATAAGGACTGTGCATGGAGGGTGGTAAATAGTAGTAAAAGGGTAGGAACTGGGTGTCAAATCTTACCAGAAGCCAAAGGGAACAGCAACACATTACTTACTCTGTGCTGGAATGTTCTGTTTTGATCCATATAAGATGTATTTCTTGTATTCCTTGTCATTTATAGTTTGTTCTACTATGCCCTCCTCTATTTCAAGACATTGAGCTTTGTTTTCATTGTGAAAGGATTTTAAGGAGAAATGTCCCCAGCCTTGAGTTTAGCAGTTCCAAAGTCAATCCAGTTTCCTTGGCTAGCCACATTTTCCTGTGGTGAGAGCAGGGTAATGTGGAAAGACCTGTTAAATTCCCAAGGCCTCAGTGTGGAAATCTGGAAAGGGATATTCATATGTAATCACCAAATTAGTCTGAGGTGCTGGAACTCCCAAGCCCCTCAGACCCTGTCACTGTTAAAGCAGTGAAACATCAGTCGTTACATTGCCACAGTACAGACAAACTCCCTTCCCTGTATTAGGAAGGAATCCATGAATTATCTGGCAGTTTGATCAGGCAATTTTATCTCATGTTCATGATTTTGAACAGATTTGAATTATATATATAACTGTAAGGGATATGAAATTTAAAAAAAAAAAAAATTCTGGCATTCTTCAGGTTTACTTTTAGAAGACAATCCCTCCATCCGAGCTATCAGCCTGGGACATGGGCACATCCTGGTAGGAACTAAAAATGGAGAAATACTTGAAATTGATAAAAGTGGACCTATGACTCTGCTTGTTCAGGTACTGTGTGGATCTCCCATAGAAAACTATTTCCTGTATTTTTATGAAAATGCTGGTTCTTTGGTATTCTTTTTTCAGTAAATTTTGATCAGTAATCCTTCAAATTTGTCTTGCCTGCCTGACTGCCTTACTATCCAAGATGTGTGAGGCTGTGTTTTATAAAACATTGAACTCATTCACTAATGCAGATTAAGAGCACTAAGAAGTTATTTAACCTTGATATGCAGTGCCAGCAAGCTAAAGGAAATCTGGAAAAAAGCAGGAAGAGTGATTAACAAGTTGGAAAACTGAGAATCTGAGGCAAGATTAAAACAAAGTATTATGTGTTTTGGACAAACAAGGATCTAAAAAAAGGATATAAACCTCGAGGATTAGCCTATATTAGGATTTCAGGATAAGGTCCTGTTTGGGGTGTAATTGTTCCCTATTAATCTCAAATTTGGAAAGGAGAATATTGGAAGAACAGCAATTATAGTCAATAATAGAGGAGGGGGAGTATGGAAAAGTGCTTTAGACATTTGTTGGGGGAGGAAGAGCAGGCGTTTAGGTCTTTTGGAATGCGGAAAGCTTTTGAGAGAGAAGATGGTGAAGGCTTTACTGCCTGAGACTTGCACAATGAGGCAGAGAAAGTTAGAACATATTACACAGCCCCACAGGCATTATTTCCTCTTGTATGGAATGCTTTCCTCCAGGGCCATATGGAAGGAGAAGTGTGGGGCTTGGCAGCTCATCCTCTCCTACCTGTGTGCGCCACTGTGAGCGATGACAAAACCCTGCGCATCTGGGAGCTCTCGTCGCAGCACCGCATGCTGGCAGTGAGGAAGCTCAAAAAAGGTAACTCTGCCTTGGCCAGGCCCTGGGGCAGCCATGGATCCCCTGCTTCTGGAACAGCTCCCTCCCTGCATTCAGGGCACATCACAGGCATTGATTGGGCAGGCAAAGGACACAGTCATTAAAAAATTGGGAGCACAGGAAACAAATTGTCTTTGGCATGTGTCAAGTCAGTGCAAACGGAAGGAAGAAAAAGGACTGTAATCTATTGTAATGAATAATAATATAAAGAACTTCAGTCTCTTTTCCCCCAGTTTCAAGGGGAATGAGTTGACCCCAAAATCACTTTCCTCCCTAGGAATACTTAAGGCCAGTACATTGCTGATATAAAAGAATTTCCTTATAAAGACAAAAGTACAATTTTCTGCATGTTTTGCTGTCAATATGAGCTTTACCTGTTAAACCAACTTCTCTAAAATTAACACTTTTCCTCTCCTCTGTATAAAATTAGATAAGCTGTGTTGAAATGGTGCCTTCTCAAAATCACTCTAATTTTATTAATTCATTGATATCCCTCAGGAAATTTTAAATTGTTCATTTTCAGTGACAGATCTGGAGCACAGGAGCCCCTAACTGGCTGAGAGAAAACAGATTTAAATATTATGGAGAGGTGAATCTGGGAATAGATGAGGATAGCTGCAGGAGGAGAGTATGTCAGGAATAATGCTGAGGCAGAGGTACACTGCCCTTAATGAATCTTTGAATTTTCCATCCGAATTTCCATTCTGTATGTGTTTTGGGTGGGTTTTTTTTTTTGTTTTATTTCTGGCATTGGTGCATTTAGAATGTGGCTGGAAGGTGGTATTTGCACATAAATCTGTTTCAAAAGGGATTAAATCATCGTTGTTAACTCCAGAGTACCCTGTAATGAAGCATCCATCATACCGCTCTGTAACATATCTTTTTCAAGACATAATGAATCTGTTTGAAAGCAACATACTTGATGTAGGAACCTTTCAGTTGCAGTTCATTGGTGGTTTCCTCAATCCCAGTTTTTAAACTTTGACATCCTCCTCATTTCCATGTGCTTTCCACAGGCGGGCGCTGCTGTGCCTTTTCTCCCGACGGGAAAGCCCTGGCGGTCGGGTTGAACGACGGCAGTTTTCTGGTGGTGAATGCTGACACTGTGGAGGACATGGTCTCTTTCCACCACAGGAAGGAGATGATCTCGGATATAAAGTTTTCACGAGGTACAACCAGATGATAAGGTGGGAGAGGAGTGTTTATCTTGCAGTTTGTTTCTCTTGTCTAGGCAAGGTTGAATGTTCCAAAGGAAGATTGGCTTTGTATGTGCTCCGTGCATTAAATACTTTACAATTCCATGTGGCTGTGTGCTGCACTATAATAGGCCCGCCCCTGCCTGGTGAATTCACTACAGTGGTGAAAATCACACTGGTATCAGTTAGAAGATTTACCCTTTAATAACCTTGGTGTCTCCTCCTTACAGAATCAGGAAAGTACCTGGCTGTGGCTTCCCATGATAACTTTGTAGATATTTACAATGTACTTACCAGCAAAAGGGTTGGCATTTGCAAAGGTGCCTCCAGCTACATCACCCACATCGACTGGGATTCCAGAGGTAAAGTGTTGGTCAGAGATACAGACTGGAAATGCCCATAAAATGGAATATCAGGAAACTGTTCCCCTCCAGTTACTGAGATCAATCACTGATGCAAATGCTTTTTTCCCATGGAGCCACTGTAAAGATCCAGTGCAATTACCTTTGTTGGTATCCAATTTCCTTTCCTTGCTGAGCTCTGCATGGCAATCCCTGCAAGAAGCTAGAGCCTGATGGTCCCAACTAATTAAATCAAGCAGGATTCATAATGAGCTCATGCCAGTGAGCCTTCCCAGAGCAGAAAAGGATCTGTGTGGGACAATCTGTGTGCCTAAGCCTTGTCCCTGCTGTTCACCAGCCCCAAAACATGGTGTGAGCTAGTGGCAGCAACACTACAGCATCACCATGGGCACAGCAAACTTCCCATCCCAGGACAGCCCAGAGTGGAGCTGCCTTTGCCAGTGGAGCAGTGCAGAAGGGATGGGAGCTGGCAAAGGTTCAACTTTTGGCAAAGCTACCTTGTAAAGTTATTAAGAAAATTAATAGCACATGCATTTATTTTTGACTTCCATTAGTGTAATGGTGAAATGAAAGCAAAATATTCACTATCAGCAGAAACTGATTTGCTGTGCATTAGCAACTTCTTAAGGATATTGGATGATATTTAAAATATTACTTATGCATTGAACCAGAGTATCACCCTAACAAAAATGATTTTAAATATTTTTGTTACTTTGGCTATGAATAACTCTCTAGAGGATAATTTCTTAATTTACCCCCAGAAATCTCTTCACTCAATCAAAAGAAAGTTCTTAATAATCATCATAATTATTAAGATTCATAACAAACTCTCCTTTTGTATTCAGGAAAGTTATTGCAAGTCAATTCTGGTGCCAAAGAACATCTATTTTTTGAAGCACCAAGGGGGAAAAGACATATTATAAGAATTGCTGAGGTATGAATTATGGGCTGGATTATTTTTACTGTGAAAATTAATTTTAAGATTTGTCTTCAAATGGTGTAATTTTTTTTCCTTTTATAATACTCTATTTACAATGGTTAGAATTAGAATTATTTAGTAATTTCCCAGTGTCTTTCCTAGCATTTGTAAAATGGCAGAATGTGCAGGTTTCTGCTTGTATCTCTAAATTTATTTTTTTTATTTATTAGCAGCCATTTGCCATAACCCCCTTCTCAAAGCCACCTCTTTTCTGTGTAACCAGTTGCATATAAACCACCTTCAAACAGCAGAACCAGGGTTTTCATGAAGCTGATTATTTGTGACATGTAATTCTACATGACTACAACATTGCCCATGTTTAGCACTTCAGAAAATCTTCAGGGAGATCTGTATCCAGATCATGCTCTGCCTTGAAAAAATGGGAATGTTTAAAGTGTTAAGCCTTTTGATAAAGATACACAATTTGTATTAACAAGCTGGAACAGCACAGTTTCTTAAGAACTAAAAGTATTAAAATAAAAATAATTGTCAAACATAGAAAAATATCCACATGAAATGAATGTGCATTTGGTATGTTTAAAGTAAGAAGCCTTCTTTGGGGGAAATTTGTTTGCAGATAGAGAAGATTGAATGGGACACCTGGACATGCGTGCTTGGTCCCACCTGTGAAGGAATCTGGCCCATGCACAGCGATGTCACTGTTGTCAACGCAGCCAGTCTCACAAAGGACAGAACCCTCTTGGCCACAGGAGATGATTTTGGGTTTGTGAAGCTCTTCGCCTACCCAGTGAAGGTAAGAAGTGCGTTTATTTCAGTGATGGGAAAGGAAAAGAAGGAAGGCGCTCTTCCAGGCTGCCAGTGGGGGATTCTCTGTGCTGCAGGGCCAACATGCCAGGTTCAAGAAATATGTGGGGCACAGTGCACAGGTGACCAACGTGCAGTGGCTGCACAACGACTCAGTGCTCCTCACCGTCGGTGGCGCCGACACCGCGCTCATGATCTGGACCAGGGAGTTCCTGGGCATCCAGGAGAGCAAGCTGGTGGACAGTGAAGAATCAGACACAGATGCAGAAGAAGATGGAGGTAAAGAGGATTTAATTCAGTCTTTCTTGCCTCAATGAGGGATTCACACAGGCATTTAACTTGAAGCTTTGCTATGCTGAATTTTGGTGTAAGCAGAGCTTGGTAGCATTTGTTTACTTCCTTTCATTGTTGCAGATCATCTTGCTCTCTACTGTCCCACTACAAAACAAGGGTAGTTTGTTTTATTCTATGTTTGATTTTTCTAAGGTTATGACAGTGATGTTGCAAGAGAAAAAGCAATTGACTACACCACTAAGATCTATGCAGTGAGCATCCGAGAAATGGAAGGCACAAAACCCCATCAGCAGCTGAAGGAGGTTTCAGTGGAAGAGAGGTATGTCCCACAAAGGCTTTTACTTCCAAGTGTGCCCTTTTGCATCTGTTTTCATTCAACTAAAATTAGTCCTTAGAAATAAGATAGGAATTCTAAAATTCACCAGATAACATTTAAAATGATGTTCGCAGAGTGCAACATGTTAAGGTGATGGAGAAAAATACGTGCCTATGACACATCTGAGTGTTGTGTTCTCTCTTGCCATTCACATGAGCATTTATATTCTCTCCTAACCAGTGTGTGTCTGCAGCAGAGGACTTGCGATAGTGGTAAGCTTGTAAATATTTTGTGGTTAAGGCTTTGGGTGGTGCTTTTATTAAAAGATTTTCAGTCACTTGTGTTGTGTTGTCACTGTTAAAGCTGGAATTTCCCATGGCCCATGCTGGCCTTAGGCTGAAATACTCTAAAAAAAATTAGCTGGAAGGGGAACAGTGTTGGATAGGAGAGCAAAGAAAAGAGGTAACAGCTAAGAACAGAGGGGAGGAGTCCAGTGAAACACAGACCTAAAGGAGGGGGTGATAAAATCTGATGGGACAGAACAGGAGCATTTATAACCAGCAAAATACATTCCTCCTCAATATCTGGAGCAGTAAATCCCTACCTGTGAATCCAGCTGGTGACTCAGCTGTGAATTCATTTTGTCTCTTTTAATAGAGTATTTTCCTAGAAATGATCATCTTTTATCAGGAGTTTCCCTGCTCTTGTCCCCCTACTGCACACTGGCACAAAAGACTGCTGTGGGTTAACCCAGAGAAAGAATTTCAGCTTTGTTCTGTTATTGCAGAAGACAAAATGAAGTTAATAATACTTCCTAATCTCATGTAGGCCTTGGAAAAATAAGTTTCTGTCTTTAAAGCTCTCAAAGAATGCAGTGCTGAGCATCTTGAACAGAAAGTAATTAATCATTTCTGCTCAGTAAATGTGCAAAACAGGAGAATTGGGTGTGAAATGTGGGGTATGAACAATAAGAAAAAAGTTGCACCCATTATTTTCATCACACTATTTTAACAATATCATGCAGGAGGAGGATCAGTGATTTTTGCAATAAAAAGTTGGACCATAACCTTCTCGTTTTCCATTTCTTTTAAGACTATCTCTTTTCCTCAAATAAAGACTTTGTTCCTCCATTTTTCTACAAAAAGGCATAGTGTATGATCAGGTAAACATAAATGTTTGCAAATTGAGTTAAAAAAAGGAGAATTATTATTTTATTTTGGGTGAATTGCTAAATTGTTACAGGAATAATAGGTGGCATTGGTACAGCTGTTTTGCACCAGAAACCCTTCTACTGTCCAGCTGTTTTATTCTGCTGTGATGATGCAAAAGCAACTGTAGAGTGAGTTAAAATTGATGGATTAAGCTGGGCTTAAAAATTACTTGTATTTATGAATTACTGATGATTTAAGCAAGAGCATCAATGTCTTGTGCAGTTTTTCAGCACCATTTCCAGTCCAGGAGTGAAAATCCCGCTTCAGGTGCCTGGGAAGCTTCCCTTCTCTGCACCCATGGCTGTGCTGTGTGATGGGCTCTGGAGCCTGTCCTCATCCTCAGCCCCTCTCTTGGAGAGCAGGTCATGTCTACCCAGCACCACAAAGCCCTGTGGAAGCTGCTCCAGCCTTTCCACACCTGCCACTCTGTTGGTGGCTGTTAAAATGGGGAGGCACCTCCACTCCAGTGAGGTTGCCCCTGACTTCTAGAGTAGTCCCTTCACAATGGCTGCACATGAAAAGAGCATCCCAAGGGAATAACCCATCCTATGTTACATCCCCAAGCTCTGGACTGAGGAGAGTAAAAAGCAAGGCCTTAACAATCTTCTATCTTTTTTTCTTCTACTGTCTCTCTGCTATCAACAGTTTTGTACTTTGTTTTAATCTAGGTTAAAAGTAAACCCTTGTCACTGCTCTTCCCATGTTTTCTGCTTGAGAGTCACAGCTCTTGTACACATTTTTAATCTTCTTTTTTAATTACAGATGCTTCTGTACAATCACACCTTTGGTATTTGGAATTTGCTGTTTTGATCAATCTGACAACAAATCTCATAATTTACATATGTCACTTGTTAAGCAAAGATCAATTCACTTGAAAGGATTCTTCAAGGGATTAATAAAAATAGTGAGAATTTATAGTGAAACAATCAGAAGTGGCAACTTTATGGTGAAATGTCAGCAAAACTGCTTTCTGAGTGCATTGTGATTGGATAGGGCCTTAAGCTGGGAAAGATGCTGGAGTTTTGGTGCAGTAAGATAGGATTCATGCATTGGCTACTGCAAGACTACAATTCCTGGTCACAGTGGGGCAATATGGACACAGTTCCTGCAGAATCCTGGCACTCCCAGTTGTGGGTGCCTCTGGTTAAATCTGACTTTTCTCAGAAGATGTATGAAGTATGAGGGAAACTTTGTAGCTGTGCCAAATTCCATCTTTTCTGAGAACTCAGAAGAATGTAGCAGTTGGAAAAGGGGTTGTCTGCCCATGACAAACTTCTGAAACCCCTGGCCTGACTTTTCTTTGCACCTCCAAGAGTCTGAAGTGACAGTTGAGCAATCCAGGTGAAATGGAAAGTCTGCAAGTACTCAGCTGTCTGTGTTGAGGGAAATCCTAAATGCTCAGGGAAATCTAAGGTCAAGTCAGCCAGCCTTGAGGCTGTGGAGTCTTGAAATCTCTGTGCACAGGGCTGAGTGAAGATGCATCAAGGAATATTGGAGGCAGCTCCTAAAGCTTTAGATTTTCTGCCTAAGGCACAGCTGAAGTAGCTCTCCCAGCCCCTCCAGGTTTGAAGAAGGGAACCCAGAGGGTGTATTCCATTCTCTTTCAGCAGGTATGTGGAGAAACCTGGTAGGCTTTTGAGGAGGAAGTTTTTCTGGGGGTAATATTTCAGATCTTTCCCTTTGCGATTGGGCCATATGTCTGTCTGAAGACCCCAGTGATTGTGCACTTAATGGCTTTTGTGCATGGAATATTCTGGCATTGGTAACTTACTGTCCACGTCTTGAAAACTATGGGAGAAGCTGGAAGGCTGCTTAGAACAGAAACTGTGAGTAAATCCCAAAGCCTGGAAAACTGTTGGCCCACCTTACTGCAACATCTAGTGAGGGTCTTGGAGTGTCCCTCTTGCTGTATTTTCATTGTGGCTTTGAGAAAGGGAAAACTGTGAAGGTGTAGTGAGCAGAAACTTGTAATTAAGCAAGTTTAAATTAAGGAAAGAGGGGGAAAAAAAGAGGGAAAAGCATGTTTCTGTTTTAAGCAAGAAGTAGGAATAGCTGGGGCTGCTTCTGTGAGCTGCTTCTTGGGGGCAATGACTTGGAGCTCACTAAGGTTTTTTCTTTTAATAGTAATATTTAGAGGGTGAACTGTTGCTGAAGTTAATTTTCAGCTTATGTAATCAAACGCATTTCAAATGTGCTATGTGGCACCGACACATAGACATGTCTATGTTTAATTCTTCTGTTTGCTGGAATAAGCTTGCAGGGCTCTGTGCTTTTCTAATAGAAAGTGGTGAATCTGAAAACCTCCAGGTATGTAATTTCTCTAGAAATAACAATCAATTGCTCAATTCAGGAGGAATTTGATTTCGGGAACTGTGATGGGACTCCTGAGAAGATTGCAAGTGTAGGGTTGGGAGCTGAACTGTACAGTGATTAGTACAAACTTAGGAGTAATAATAATGCTTTCCCTTAGAAAAGAAAATGTGAACCCTGTATGAAATTTATTTTTCCTGTCTCACTCAAATGTAATTAAAATAATAATGATTCTGCAAATATATTGGAGGAGTGTAGAAGTTATGTCATAGATTTTACTGGTAGGATTTTAATCAAATCATGGCCTGGTATTTTTGGGGGATCCAGCATTTCCTGTCTTCATCAACAGCTGCAGATTTAGAATGGCAAACTGACAGGAGAGCTGCTGCTGAGGCACAGTTTTAAAATGTCTTGCAGTTATATGAGGCAGATGCAGCTCTTCTTTAGCTCAATATGTATGACTCCACATCAACCTGGTGATGGGAACTCCTTCAAAGCAGGTGGAACGTGTTGAAAACAAGAAGCAGCATTAGCATGTTTGTCTGGTTTTCCATTTTCTTGGCATCCTGGCTTGTCTCTCTCCATGAATTACCCACCTCAGAGCCTGGTATTTGCCTCATGTGTAATCATATGTCCTGATAAAGATGAAAAGTTAAAGAAGCTGAATTTTCTCTCTTCAAATGTTGCTCTTTAAGTTATTGATTTCTTTAAAACAACATTAACTCACTGATATAAACTTCCAAAATAGCCCCCACAAGCCTTTGCGCCATGAAGTGAATTATTAGATGTATGGTTACAGCCTTGATTCCTGTACCTTTACACACACATGTCTGTGGGTGCAGTGCACAAGTTCTTGAGTGTGAATCTGTGTTGTATTTATGTGTAGGTGGGGATTATTCAAAATATATCTGAAAATAAAACACATTATTGGAGTGGAAAAAATTACTTTGGGCTTATTCCAGCAGAAAGCCCCTCTCTGAGAATGAGCAGCATAATTTGGAATATTCACTTTTACTTTCTCAACAGCATTATGTCAAGTTAATGCACCCTCAATGCATTTGACAGCCTGCTGGTTTCATCCCAGTTGTCCCCAGGGCTTGTACACATTGTGACTGGTATTTGTCAGTCCCTGCCAAGCAGCTGAACTCAGACTCAATCTCACTGCTCCCACAGGTTAGCACAGAGCTGGTTCCAAGGTCTTCTCTGTTTGTGTGACACTTGGGGAAGTGGAACTGAGGGATGCCATCGTTGCCATACATTCCCAGTGCCTCTCTCTCTGAATCTGAGTGCTCTCTGCCCTGAGGGTGATGTGAAATACGCAGCTTTTCTGAGGGCTGCTGTGCAGGAGGTAGTCCAGGGCTGATGGGAAAAGCCATGTATCTCATGTTCTGTCATGCAGAGGGAGGATCTGTTATATATGATCAGTTCAGTGTTTTTATTTACACAATACAGCTTCAAAACATGCTGAAGCTTATGCAGGAAATAACAAAACAAATGGAAACGGCTCTATTCCCTCAGTGTGTCCAATGTGTCCAGGCTGTGAGGGACAGCAGGGCCAGTCTGTGGTACAGGAGCTGTTTAGGGAACATTTTCCCAAGGTGCTCAGAACAAAGTCATTCCAGTGATTACCCTCCTTACTAATTGCTGTAGTGCTGCTACACTGGGCACTGAGCTGGAATGACCTGGGAATGCAGTGACCAGCTGCCCTGACAGGCTGTGACAACAGCTGGCCCTACCATAAGTCCTGCAGTACTTTTTGAATTTTTTTTTTTTTTTCAATTTTAAGGAGTGCATCAGCATACATGTGAAGTTCTAAATATTGCAACCATGTAAGGCCTTTTCAATCCTTTAAAAATGTAATTTACCACTGATGTTTCTCTCTGGTTCTGTTTGAGCTTTGCTTTGATCTGCTGTATTTGACAGCAGGGTATTTTCATATTGAATCCTATTCTTTTTGTTGTCTTATGATAGCTACAGCATGTTAAAAAATAACATCAGGAAAAGTTGTATGTAAAACTCATATGAATGTTGGGATGGGAAAACCCAAGGGTTTAGAATTTACAAAATCTTTTAATCCCTTCTCTGGAAAGAGATTAAAAAAAAGCTTGAGGAGTTTCACAGCAGCTTGGCACCTGGGAGTCCCCTCCTGTCACTGGTGAAGGGCACAGTTAAAAGCTGCTTTTGCATTTTTTCTGATATGAACAGTGTATTTTTTAAACCTTGGATTTTTGTTCTCTTTCCCAGTCCAACCCTACCACCCTTTCCTCTCCTTGAACTTTGCTTTCTCTTCTCAGGAGCAGTCCTGCTCATGTTTGTGTAGATCCAAGTGTGTTCTCTCTCCAGTTTGCAGCTATATAAATCCATGTCTGTCTCCCTTTTGGGCTTGAAGCTTTTCCCTACCCATTGCTGCTGGCTCAGCCTGTCACCTTCTTGGTTGCAGGATACTCCTGTCAATCTGTCCCTGCTCCAGACCTTGTTGGTCCCTTTCACATGACACTGTTTCTGGAGTTCCCATGCTGTTCCTATTGATCTTGGAGCAGAATGTTTGTGTTCTCACCAGTTTATTCCTGCTGCAGTCAGCATCTCCAACCACGCAGCAATTCTGGCCTGTGACCTGGAAACAGGAATTGCTTATACTCCCCTCCCATAGAATTTATCATAACAGTTTTTTTATCTGCCTTGTCTTTTGACCTTTATTTTCCATCTAAACAGTTCTAGCTTTTTTTCCCCCTTATAGTTTGGCCCTGTTCTCTAAGATCACATCTCTTTCCTCCCACAAGATGCCCCACTATTCCAAAACTCCATCCCTCTTCCCCCCAGCCCAGCTCTTGTTGTGTCCATCTGTTGTTCTCCATCCTGGTGCTGTCTGTTCACCCCACCCCTGATTTGGGCTTCTCTCCCTGCTGTGGCTGGAGGGAATGCTCACTCACATCTTTTCACATTCCTGCATGAAGGTGGTGCTGAGGTTTTGCATCTTTTGAGTTTGTATCTGGACTTCTCTCCCTGACTGACAGCTGCGTGTCCTCATGTGAGAACATCCTGGAGATTGGCATGAGTAACAGAAACCTTCTCTGCTGTATTCACAGTACCCAAAGAACTGAAACCCTCTAATATCTGATGGTGTCCTATCTTTCCTGGAGCTCCTCCATGCCATAACATGATCTAAGCATGTTTGTTTTCAATTGCTGCAAAGAAACCGTTAATGCTTGTGTTATGTTTTAACTTGCTTTCCTTTGGAGGCAGGGAATTGTCAAGTAAGTATTGATGGGGAGCCCAGCCAAGACCTGGATTGCTGGGAATGTGCCATGCAATTTGCACAGGTGCAACAGGGCAAAAGGGTGGCATTTGCTACAGTGCAAATTTCTTGTCTTGGCAGTGTAATCTTCTGTGTCAAAACAAACTAGATGTAGTCACAGGCTTGTTAAAAGTGAAATGACTTCTTACAATGTTTCAAATGTGCTGCTTTCCATTTGTTTTATTAAGATGGTGATGAGGCAGTGAATGCACACGTGTGTATATATACATGGCTGTGTATATATGAATGCACACAACATCTGTGTTTGTGTGTGCTGTGAGTAGGTATCTATAAAACTATGTGTGTCCCCAAATTAAGACTCATGCTTATAATCTGGTGACTATCAAGCATGTCACATTGGTAGTGTTCTCTTGCTTTCATGAAGTATTTTGGCTTGCTCTTGTCATAAACTTTTATATTCCTAGATAAAGAAATGTGGAAATGTTTGAAATAACACTAAAACAGAAAAAAGCATACAAGAAAACAATTATTTTCCTAAGTGCTAGCTCAGAGGCCCTCATAAATCTGAGCTGGAATGAAATAATGAATTTATTTTGCAAGACAATTAAGTTTTGTAATAACTTCCTCTGCCCATTCCCTGCCAGTAATAGCACTGCTGCTTGGTCCTGCTCCGTCCAGGGTCACCCCAGGGGATTTGAGTGACCCTCTCTGAGGAAATGAAGGTACTTGTTCCCTGAGGGCAAGGCAGGACAGGCTGTCCTGGGAGTGACTTGGCCTCCTCACAGCAGTTGTGGGCTAAATTGCAGCTGAGCTGGGATAGAGAACAATCATCCATTGTGTGCAGTCTCAGCATTGCCTAGGAAACTGTCAACTTCCTACCAGTTCCCTCCTTGTCAGGCTCCTGAAAATAAACCAACCATGGGATACCATTCTGCTTTGGTGCAAAGTGTGCAGGAAGCTTGGATGTAGCTTCCCTTTCCCCTCCATCCTGCAGGATCTTTAGCTCCGAGGCTGCCCAGGGATGCCGGGTGTGATGTTTCCGGGTCTGTGTGCTCTTTGGTTTTTGTTTTAGTTCTTGCTGGCATGCTTGGATAGCATGTGTTGTGCCCAAGGAATGACTGCTGTGCTCTGAAGTGCTTGTGCATGAGTCTTATGCTCAGAAGTGACTCCTAAACTGTATTAAGTTTCTTGCTTGGCTTTATTTGCTGCTTACAAGGGGATCAAGGTAACTCTTTCACTGTCTTTGTGTTATGGGGTCACCTGCTGATGTGCTTGTTGGTCCTTGTTGTGCTTGAGACGTGGGTTAGACTGGTTACCTCCAGCCTTGCTCTGTCTCAGAGCTCAGGTTGTCCTGCTGCTCATTCCCACAGGGCTCAGTCCCCACTGTTCTCTGTCCACCATGCCTTTAATACCTTCCATGAAAAACCCAGATCCAGAAAAAGCAGCTCCCTATATAAAAAAGGGATTTCATTCTTCTCCAATTAATTTTTTGCAAATTAGGAATTAGTGATAGTTACGATCTCAGGAACAAATTTCACAGCATGTGGAATGTAATAGCAAGGTTACATTTTTCTGGAATCATAAGCCCTGGGAGTGCTTTCCACGTACTCCCCTTAGCTCTGTCCCTCTTTTCCCAGCAGGATCAACAGCAGCAGCAGAGGTTATCTGGCCTTACAGACCATTTGCACACATCAGATTTTGTCTCAGCCTGCGTTCTGCATTTGTCTCTTTATCTACTTTTAGCAACTGCAATTATATAAAAAAAATCTTTGCTGGCCTCAATCTCCCAAATTCCCTTGGGTGAATGACTTGTGCATTTAAATGCAACCATTTTAATATGATTTTGAGAAGATTTTATTGAAACCATGTCAAGGTTTTGGGATGGGGCTTCTCAGAAGAAGCAAGGCTGGGCAGAGGTCAACTGCCAGCTGCAGAAATTACTTCAGATCATTTCTGAAAGCACCAATTTCCCATGATTTAATATTCAATAATTTTTCCATGGATTTAAATCATTATGGTTTGGAGTCTTTTGAATGGTGTAAGGTTGTTTGTTCTGCCACTCATCTGTGAAGTCTACATCAATGTTTCTGCTCTTTCTAGCAAAAAGTGCAGGATTTTAATCAGTTTATTGTACAACTCTGAAAAAAGCTTATACAGAAGCAACTGTCCATTTGCTGCTCACACATGCTGTGGTTTTGAAGGTTGTGTTTTACTTTCAAATATATTGATTGTCTCCTTTTTTAAATGTTCTTTTCAGGCCACCTGTGAGCAGAGCTGCTCCTCAGCCTGAGAAACTGCAAAAGAACAATGTCAACAAAAAAAGGAAACTAGTTGAGGTCAGAATTAATATATTTTATATTTCTTTAAAAGTAACATGTGCTGGGTGAAATCCATCCCTGTTTTGCCTCTCAGCGAAGGGCAGGTACAATCACAGAGTATTTGCATTTCCATGCTCCCTGCTCAATCCCAAGGGAAATACACCCAGAATCAGCACTTTGGCCCAGGAAAAATCCTGTGCAGGATTTAGAATGATGGAATTTGCTCATTGACTTTGGAACTTTCTTCCCAAACAACTTGCTTGAATTGCCACCTAATAGGCAGAACCAGGGGAATATTCTGTGACCTGTGTGGACCATTTGCAACACTTGGTCTATGGCAAATTTTGATCGTTTCCAGCAAGCTGTGATTGTGTTTGGGACAGTCATTAAGTTGGGCTTCAGGGCTCCAAAGCAGCTCTAACAGCAATCCATTAACCATCCTGGGTTCCTGGAGGAAATTTCCTTGGCAACTACTCATTGTAAGCTGCAATTACACCTCTGATTAATGTCTTAATTACAGAGTTACTTATAGCTTGCCCTGGCTTCCTTTAAGGACTTTATGGTCAGAATTTGGTCTGTGGAAATTTGGTAGTTTATTAAAATGATTTTTGAAAACTCTGCAGGTAGATTCTTTAAAATATCTCATACCCTATATAAATATTAAACTGTGATGGGAAGAGCAATAAAATCCAACCTGTTCTGTGAGTTGCATCTGTTTGGAGTGGGAATTTACAGAACTAGGGCATTTATGGCCTTCTGAATAATTAAAAAAGAAAATAATATAAGTGCAGTGCTTCAGTTGATCAGTTAAAGGTTGTTGATAGCCTCTGATAATGTTATGCCTCAATAAATGAGCAGAGTGGGGATAACTAATTATTGTTTTGTTATTCTATTGCTTCTACAAGATATTTGTACTTGTGTAATTTAGAATTGTCCTTAAGTGGTCCAGGCTCTGAAATCTTGTTTTTTCTTCCATTTCACTCTTGTTCTCTTTGTTTTCCTGGAGCAGGAGCTGGCTTTAGACCACGTGTTTGGATACAGAGGATTTGACTGTCGCAACAACCTCCATTACCTGAACGATGGTGCTGACATTATTTTCCACACAGCTGCAGCAGGCATTGTCCAAAACCTCTCTACTGGTAATTCCACTTGAAAAAATACTTGGAGATAAAATAGCCTTATAAGGAAAATATTTTTGATTGAAAGTCTGAACCTTTTAATCTTCCTGTGGCTTTCCCACATTTTGCATCTTGATAACTAGCATAAACCCAATGTAGGTGGTCTCTGGGGACTCCAGTCCTAGGACAGCTGTGGGCTGGGAAACAAGACCCCATCTGTCCTTTCTGGGCCTCTTCCCTTGGGAGGGCTTTACCTCCACTTCCCCACTCACTGTCTCGATTCACTGGGATTTCACTGGGAAACCTGGGCTTTGCATTGGCAGTTTTGGTGTTTCTTGCAATTATGGTGGCTATAGGCTGATTCTCTGGGTATATAGATAATTTCCCAAATGTTGCTTTTGTATCCACCTCTGTGTGTTGACGGTTGTATCCATAGTGCATTTGGGAATGGGAGCAGAGTTGTAGCAGCTGCCAAATAGTCTGTGCTTCTGTGGTGGTTCTTTCCTTGGTCCTGTGGTGACTGAAATCCTGCTTGGATGTCATTAGGTAGCCAGAGTTTCTACCTGGAGCACACTGATGACATCCTGTGCCTGACAGTGAACCAGCACCCCAAGTACAAGAACGTGGTGGCCACCAGCCAGATTGGTACGTGACCCCCACAGCAAAGCTTCACTCACAGTTTTCAGGGCACTGCTTTATTTGGGGCTTTTCTGTGGAGGAACTTTACTTTTTGTTTGATTTGGAAGAAGTAATCAAGCTGCAGCATTTTCTTACTGTTTCAATTCCATCTCTAATTGTGAGTGATTGGATTTTAGAGTTAATTGTAGTGTAATTTTATTTTAGAAGACAAACTTTGATAAACTGCTTAATCATCTCAATAATCTGATTTACAGAGTTTCTTCTTTCCTTCCTGTGTCCAAGGCACTATTTAGCAGTGAGAGTACAATGAACATCATTTTCCATACAGAAGCAGTACAGAGAAGGCCAGAAACAGAGACAGATCTCAGCAGAAGCTAGGGGACATATCAGGGGACAGCTGAGAAAACCCATTTCTTTGGGTGTTTATTGTTTACATGGAGACTCCTGCAGGAGTAAACATTGCATGGGGAATGCAGGATGAGTTGTCCCAAGCTTTTAGAAGGATCTGCTGCCCCTCAGCCTAATGCTGAAATAATTAACTTTATGGAGAAGAACAGGGTCAGAATGTCTCAGCCCATTCCAGAAAGAAACTGGAATTCATAACTTGAGGACAAGAGTCACTTAACAGGAGGCAGGGAATTGTAGTGATGAGCACAGTGACAAACACAAACCCTCTGCTGCCTGTCCTGAGCACAGTCACTCCATCTGGAATGTGGAGGGAGCACCCAAACCTGCATGTGGTGCCAGAGCTGTGCAAAACACTGATTTTTGTGACATGGAAAAGCTAAAGGCCCTTTTCCTAGGCCTCAGGAGATCAGTGCTTCAGAGTTTGTTTTGATACTTTGTATAACTAAAGATTCACTTCACTTTTGAATGTAATAATTTTTAAAACATGCATGCCTGTAATATTTCTTTTAGGTACCATTTTTAAACTTAAAAGTACTAAATATTGTTGCAGTATTTGTGTATAAAAGCCAATATACCCAAAAAAAGTTCAACAATATTCCTGGCTTATTTGTTTTGTTGATTTAATCCATATCCATTTCCAAGTTTTTAATTTTGTTTTCCTTCTGGTGCTGATGCTGGCACTTCAGCACAAGTCACATGACTTATTTCACCTATTGTTTTCCCTTGGTGCTTCCTCATTTGCCATTGCTCTCACAATGCAGGTGACATGACAGAATTCCCAGGTAAGGCTGATTTGTTTGTGAATTTAGCAGAGTCCTGTACAAGTTCCATGTTGCCTCGTTGTATCTGTGTGAACCATGGATACAAGTGAAACATCTGCAGGCAATTTCTTTTGCATGAGGCTCTTCATGAATGTTATGTTGTTCTTTTAGAACTTGTCTGACTTCACGGACTACAGTGATTCCCCCCTACCCCGTGTTTTGCAAGCTATTTGATTTCTCTTTGTTTCTCAGTAGTGCTAATCTTCAAACAAATCCAAACCCCCAACTAATGTCTGTTTAGGTTAAATACTCTTGAAAAATGCCTGGTTTGCTCTGAAGCTTTCCAGAATTAATTCTCTTTTAATGCCTCTCTCCCACAGGTACAACCCCCACAATCCATATATGGGATGCCATGAGCAAGCAAACCCTTTCCATGCTGCGCTGCTTCCACACCAAAGGGGTCAATTATGTGAACTTTAGTGCCACTGGCAAACTTCTGGTGTCAGTGGGAGTCGACCCAGAACACACCATCACTGTCTGGAGGTGGCAAGAAGGTACAAACCAGGGGGAAATCATGTTCCTTCAGCCTAACAGGACTGTGCATAATGATTGGCTTTGCCTTTCAAGTCTTTGGACTTTTGTCTCCCCACTCTATCCCAGTTAGTCAGTTAAAGATGGCAAAAGGTTAGAAAATATGAACAGGAAGATAAGTTTTAAACACCTATTCTAAGTGGAAATTAAGGAAAGAATGATGCTTAATGTAAAATTACATGGAATTAAGGAAAATTATTCCTTTTCTTTCCTAAAACACTTCAAGTACTATGATGGAGATAGGCCTTTGGGAAGTAATTTCCAGAAAATAATTCTTTGGAAACGGTGGAGGAAGAGGAAAAGGGCCTCAGATCATGAGTGTGTCCTTGTGCATTTTTCACCAGATGATAGCCAATATTTCTGTGTTATTTCACTGACCCAGGAGACAGATTGTGCTATGAAGGCCTTAAATCTGCATTTCCTATATCCGTGGGATGCAACCAGGGACTTTGGGAGTTGCATTGAGATGTTTGATATACTAGACAGCAGTGGGATTTGTAGCTTTCACATCTGGGACGCAGATCTCTAATCCAATACCAACTCAATTTATTTGATAAAATCATATCAGAGCTTCATTTCTCAGGTAAATTCCACTTTGTTTTTATCCTCTCTTTTCCTCATTAAACCAGGGGCTAAAGTTGCCAGTAGGGGAGGACACCTGGAGAGGATCTTCGTTGTGGAGTTCCGCCCGGACTCTGACACTCAGTTCGTGTCCGTGGGGGTCAAACACATGAAGTTCTGGACCTTGGCTGGCAGTGCTTTGCTCTACAAGAAAGGGGTCATTGGTTCCATGGAAGATGCCAAAATGCAAACCATGCTCTCTGTTGCCTTTGGAGCAGTGAGTTCAAGTTACCTGCTACAGGATTTTACATTACCTTTGCATTAAACCTGCAAGGGTCAGTTTTCTTTGCTGAAATCCAACCCAGTGCTTGTTAGTGAAATGTGGATTTAAAACCTGTGCACCTTGAGATCCTTCCATGAATTTCCTGAGCACAACTGGGTGAATGTCTTCTATTAAGTTCTGTTCACACCTACTACCCTGGCTGGTTTTTTGGGTTTTTTTTTTCTTTTCTGGTTATTTATCTGTTTAACTTAAACTGTGATCTGTTATTTTGTGTATCATTTTTTTCTGCTGATGGTATTTGGCGTGACACATGCTAGTGATGCATCAATGGTGACAATCCAGTGTGGTCATTAAGGACTTTTAAATTTAGTTTAAAGAATATTACTCAAAGCTGAACAAAAATGCCAAGGTGTCCATTGTGTCAGAGATTGCTGCTGTCTGTTGCAGAATAACCTCACGTTCACTGGTGCCATAAATGGAGATGTCTACGTGTGGAAAGATCATTTCCTGGTCAGGCTGGTGGCCAAGGCTCACACAGGACCAGTGTTCACCATGTATACGACTCTGCGGGATGGGCTCATTGTTACTGGAGGGAAGGAGAGGCCGTAAGACACAGGATCTTCCTAAAGTGCACAATTCTGTCTCGTTTGTGTGGTTTTTGTTTTCGTTATTTATCCAGCACCCCAGAGATAAATGCTGTCTATGCTGTAGCAGCTTCACTCTCAATTTTGCATAACCTGCCCAGATGGCTCAGTAAGTGAAGGACTAGAGGGGGATACTTGAGGATCACAGTGGCACATGTTATGTGGCAGGGAGATGCTGAACCTCTTTGGAATTGTTCCAAACATCTGCATAAGCTTGTACTGCCTGTACTCCTGCCGTAAGTGGAGTTCTCATCATTTGTTAGTTCTGTCAAACTACAGACAGCCTCTCCCAGTGGAGATGCTGTGGGTCTTGGGATTACCACAAGAAACAGATTTACCAGGAAACAGAGATTTGAGATACTTGGCAAGAGAGCAGTTTGGTTTGTACAAATTATGGTGCTGTTTAAAACATGAAATGCGAAAGCATTTAACTTTTTATTATTTACTTACCATTGCATCATAATAGTGACATAGAGTGGAGGGTGGGTCAATGTATGTTTAGTGATTTAAACAAAAAAATACCAGTGACATGTTCGTATGTAAAGGAAACATCCAGGTAACACCAGGCCTCCTTTGCAGCACGAAGGAGGGAGGAGCAGTGAAGCTGTGGGACCAGGAGATGAAGCGGTGCCGAGCCTTCCAGCTGGAGACCGGGCAGCTCATTGAGTGTGTGCGCTCCGTGTGCCGGGGCAAGGTGAGGAGCGGCCCGGGGCAGAGGGCAGAGCTCTGCTGCTTGCCTGAACTTCTGTTTGTTCTTTAAAGTCACAAAACCCCCACTGGGAGTTACTGAGAGACCCTGAGTTTTGGTGGAGTGGAACACAGTAGGAATAACAGTCATGTGACTTGCTGCAGGAACTCTTGCATGTGTTTGAATTGTGCATGAGAAAGGAGCAGTGATGCTGCACAAGGTGGGACCTGTCCAGCTGAGTGCTCCAGGGATGGCCTCTGTTTCATTTTGCTCAGGAATCTGATACATTCCTTAATAAAAACACCACAGAGGAATGTTGGTTTATATTGCCAATCAAGTAACCATTAACCGATTACAAGCTTAATCTGTTTATGCTTTTTCCAAGTATTTGCCAAGGAAGATCTGGCAGTTTAAACCTTAGCAGTTACTGCTACACTGGCCAACTCTCTCCACTCCTTTTCTTTGGCTACAAACAGGGGAAAATCTTAGTGGGAACAAAAGATGGAGAAATCCTTGAAGTAGGAGAAAAAAACGCAGCTTCAAACTTGCTGATTGACTGTCACATGGAAGGGGAAATCTGGGGTTTGGCAACACACCCCTCCAAAGACATATTTATCTCTGCAAGCAATGATGGGACAGCCAGGATCTGGGACCTGTTGGACAAAGTGAGTACCGCGAACATAAAAACGTGTGATCAAAAATTAACATTTTAGCCAAGTATCCATTTTTCCAGCTGTGCCTTTGAGCAGCCCTGGAATGAAAGAAGGGTTTTGCCTCGTCCTGAGCAGGTTTTAGTCATGTTTGGCACCAGCATTCCCAGAGGAATGCAGGGATTCACCAGCACACCTGTCCATGGAGTGTCTCTTGTTTAGTGTTGTTTATTTGGATCCAAATCTGCAGGCTGGGGGATCAAGGAAGCATTTTAATTCCACATTGCCTGTCTGGATGACACAGACTGTGCTGTCACACACACACACAGCCCCTGCCCATCATTCCCCTTTCCTGGCAGGCACGGCTCCCTCTTCTTCAGAGTCTTCCTTTGGAACTCTGCATGTTGCCTCAGGGATTTTTCCAAGTCAAATTGACTAATAACAACCATTTTTAAAAACAACAAATAAAACATTAAAAAAAAGACACCAAAAATTTTTTAGCTCCTTTTGGCCAGCATAAACCTTTCCAAAAGCTTGCTACCTGAGCTAACAGGAATAATTTTCAATGAGGAAAATTAATCTATTATAAATACAACCAGCTAGGTAAAAATGCAAGAGCTTTCTAGGATGTTTCCACATATCAAATGAAATGGGAAAGCTCTGTGCCAATCAGCAGTTGTTGAAGATGTCAAAGTCATCTTTGAAACAACTTAGGTCTTTCAGCTTGTTCTGCTAAATAGTCCTTTTTCTGGTGTGACACTAAATGTCAGTCTAAAAAAATAATGCAAACATGAACACCCCATCCAAATCACATCTATTTTGAAGTCTGCTTAGCGACATATGTCTGGTGGGATGTGAGTCTCGGTGTGACATTTCAGGTTTATGTTTAGAGGGAAACAGAGTTGATTTGTTTTTAATTAAGCAAGTTTTATACTTTGTGTTTGGAAGTTCTCTGTGTCCTGGGCAGGTGTGAGCCTGTTGCGTGTGTCCCCGCAGAAGCTGGTGAACAAGGTGAGCCTGGGGCACCCCGCGCGCTGCGCTGCATACAGCCCTGACGGCGAGATGGTGGCCATCGGCATGAGGAACGGAGAGTTCGTCATCCTGCTGGTCAACAGCCTCAAGGTCTGGGGCAAGAAGCGGGACAGGAAGTCTGCAATTCAAGACATCAGGTAGGAGGTGCTCAAAATACACAGCCCTAGCTCAACAAAATGGCCATCGAGTGCCAGGTGGATTTGCAGAGGTTTTGTAAGTCTGTGTCTGTTGAAACCTGTGTGAGCTGGTGAAGGGCACTGTGGCTGTGCTTTGATTCAGTCACAGCCACTGCACAGCTGTAATTATCGGGATTAATTCTTCAAATTGAAGTTCCTGTAGCTGACTCCCAGAGGATTAGTGTTGCTCTGCACACTGTGCTGTGCCTTTATGTGAACACAATATTAATACAATTTAACAACAAACAACACAGAATAGAGTCATGGAATGGTTTGGTTTGGAAGAGACCATAAAGCTCATCCAGTCCCAACCCCTGTCATGAGCAGGGGCACCTTCCACTATCCCAGCTTGCTTCAAGCCCCATCCAACCTGGCCTTGGATATTTTCAGTCATGGGGCAGCCACAGCTTCTCTGGGGAACCTGTGCCTGGGCCTCACCATCCTCACAGGCAAAAAATCCTTCCCAATATTCCATCTAACCCTGTCCTCTGTCAGAGAGATCCTGAGTCTTCCTCTTCTAAATAAGTATCAAGTTTTGGTTTGGGTTCAATCTCGCTGTTGACAGAAGGTTTTTTGTGTTTTTCATTAAAAAAAGTTCCTGTCACGTTAGCATGAAAGGCAAATCTTGCACCAAAACAGCCAGTGACATTCCCACTCCATTTTATTTAGGATCAGTCCAGATAACAGATTTTTGGCAGTGGGCTCACAAGAACATACTGTGGATTTTTATGATCTCGCTCAAGGCACAACCCTAAACCGAATTGGCTACTGCAAGGACATTGCCAGTTTTGTCATACAGATGGACTTCTCTGCAGACAGCAGGTACATCCAGGTATGTCTGGGATAGCCCCCGGAGTGCTCGGGTTTGTTGGAACACCATAACGAGATGGAGGCTTGAGCTGTGCTAAGGGCAAAGCATTATTCCAGGTCAGTGGAAGGGGTACAATGCTGAAAAAGAAATTGTGGATTATATCCATATGAAAGCAGTTCTCTTCCTCCCTGAGGCTGGGATGTATGTGAGAGCTCCATTGTTAAATTGTTAATTTGAAAGGGTTTCCTTCAGAAATGTTTCTGATTTAGTAAAATTAGGTTGAGATAAAGTATAGAAGTGAGAGAAAATCTGTCAGCTCACAGATGTATGTGAGCATCTCCTTCCGTCATCATCCTGTAACATTGTTCTTCCTTTATATGTCATGTGATGAATTCCAGGTAATGAGGAAAAAAGAGAAATATTATCCTAGATGTTTAATTGCTGATAAAACCCGGTGAGACTGTTGGAAATTTTACAGAAAATTACATGTTTATAGCAGAGGTTCCAGGTTTTTCCTTTCCCACTTTCAGGTATCCACAGGTGCCTACAAGCGTCAAGTTCACGAGGTGCCACTGGGAAAGCAAATCACAGACCCTGCAGTCATAGAGAAAATCACCTGGGCCACATGGACCAGGTAACACCCAAGGAGAGCATGGGGCCAGCACTGGGGTCAGGCCACAGGTTTGGGTGTGTAAATGCCGATATGTCCCCAGGGTCTGGCAAACCTGCAAGTGCACCCAGGCTCTGCTTCCTCAGAGCTCTACCCGACACCCTTTGGCTGTTTGGTGTCTGTAGTAATTAGTGCTGTTAATAACACCGGGGGCTCTCACAGAGCCACAGTGGCTCATTGCCACTCATCCCAGGCCCCTCACATGGCTCTGGGCCACTCCAGGCAGCCTTGTCCCACATCAGCAAATGCCAGCAGCATGGAAGGCCTGAAAAAGTGCACTGATTGCATTAAGGAGTTCTGAGAGTCATTAAAATGTATTTCTTGATGTGGATGAACACAGGAATGTGCCCCCAGGATTGCAGAACTGTGGCTGTGCTCTTCCTGCAAGAAGTGGGACAGACCAAAGGCAGAGGTGATAGTGGGGTGAGAAGCAGGCAGGGCTAGGAGAAGGTAAATGAGAATCCTCCTACTCTGCTCTGCTGGCATAAAAATCTGCCCCAAATTCCCCATTTCAGAGGACTCTTGACAGGTGGTGGGAGGGGGCAGATGCCTCTGGCAGCGAGTCTGTGGGTAAATGATTACAGAGAACTGAAGCCAGGGGAAGAACACCTATTTCTGAGAACGAGTCAACATCGAGACAAGCATTCCATCATTCAGGAACTCACAGCTAAGGGAACAGTGCAGTCAGAAATCCCAGGGGAAGGCTCATAGAGACCAGAGCTGCACAAGGTGCTGGTGTAGAATGATGCCAGATAATGGGAAATAAACATAAGGATTAATGGATAGAGATTGCTTAAGAATCACATAAAAATGATGTATTAGTGTGATGGTCTCCATTATGAGCTCAGGGGCAATAATTTAAAAGGGACAATTTTATTTTAAATGCAGCAATTTTTTATTATTGACCTGTGTTGGCTCAGCCTCCTGTGGAAGAGCAGCAGCAATTTATGTCTTATGGTCTAATGTATTTTATTTACCTTGATTTTGGAACAGCATTCTTGGAGATGAAGTCATTGGGATCTGGCCACGAAATGCAGATAAAGCAGATGTCAACTGTGCCTGTGTGACCCACGCTGGCCTGAACATAGTCACAGGAGATGACTTCGGGCTGGTCAAGCTGTTTGACTTCCCATGCACGGAGAAATTTGTAAGTGCCTGTTTTACTTTCACCTAAGGAGCTTTTGCTTTCCCAAACCCCACAGCACTCGTTGTTACAGCACCCAACCAGCGTGGTCCATCCTCAGGAAGCTCTTACAGCATCCAAACAGCACAGTCCATCCATGGGCAGCTCCCAGGGAGCGAGATGGACTTGGTGTCAGGATGGCTGTGGGCACAGTCCTTTGCCTGGTGCCATCCCTGAGCTGGTGCCCTGTCCCACAGGCCAAACACAAGCGATACTTCGGGCACTCGGCGCACGTCACCAACATCCGCTTCTCGCACGATGACAAGTTCGTGGTGAGCACCGGAGGGGACGACTGCAGGTAATGGGCTGGGGCTGGGGCAGTCACACACATAGGGACACAGAGCCAGACACACACAGAAAGGGACACAGCCACGGCTGTGCACACATACAGACACACTAACGTGACCCACACAGCCACATCCCACTCACAAACACACTGCACGTACGCAGTGCACAAACACAGCAGACATGGATACACAGTGCACACACACACACAGATCCACATGGCCCACAGAGTGCACACAGGTATGCTCAGACACATACACACTGCATATGCACAGACAGTGCACAGACACTGCCCACAGAGCACACACACACACAGGGTGCACACTCACGCTGCAGTCATGCACAGACACACATAAACTGTGCACACAATGCACATGCCCACTACACACACAGTGCTCACTCTGCAGACATGCACATATACAGTGCACACACATTGCATATACATATGCAGAGCCACAGTGTGCACAGAGTGTATTGTACACACACACACAGTGTGTGCTTCACACACCCAATGTGTTTATTTTCTGTCTCATTGGGCTGTGCCAAATGCCAATCCCTGCTCTCACTCCTGTCTCCAGTGTCTTCGTGTGGCGCTGCCTCTGAGGAGCCTCTGGTTGCTGCTGTCATGCCCCAGCGAGGGCTGTGCTGGCCGGGGCAGCTGGGAATGCCCCTCCAGCTGCAGGAATCCCAGCCCTGCTGCAGGCTGACATTTCCAGATCACTCATCCCAAATTACCAAAAGGGGATGGGAGCTGGAAAGCCTGACACCCTTGCGAAGGAAGCTGTGGTTTGAAGGGTAACCTGGGGATCCCAAAGGGATGAACAGTTCACTCACAAAGCTGCTTTTGCCTAATACTGTGTTGTTCAAACCATGTCTGAAAAGGGAGAAAATGCTGACAAAATACTGGGCCCTTTAATTTCTGAATTTGTGGCTTGAACAACGTTCAAGAAGTGGGTGGGTTTTAACCACACCTGCTTAAAAGTCCAATTTTGTGAACTCAGTAAAGCTGGGAGCATTTAATGAGCAGGCTGGGGACAGGGGAGGTAACCCTTCAGCTTTCATTAATTGAAGGAGCAAAGTATCCTTTTTTTTTTTTTAAGTCCATTTTATTTTTAAATATATATACTTGGCAGAATTTTCTATCCATGAAGTGCCTTGGAATAATTTTCTAGTAGTTTGGGCTGCAGCCTTGCCTCCCCCCACCTGCTTTCCACACATGGTGCTATGACTCTCACCCAGAGGAGGGCTAAACCACTCTCACCTTTTCCAGCTGGGTGCTTACACGATCCCTCTTTTCTGCTTTGGTTTTTTAATACCTTCACAAGTGAATTCCCCACTGTTTCCGACAGCAAGCAGCTCTGTGCTGTCAGAAGGCCAAAGTGACGGCATTCCAGCTCCTGGGCAGCTGCTCCTGCAGCCAGCAGTGCAAGCTAAACTCCAACAGTGAGTGAGAGGAAGTGTTCCTGCATGCTCCCCACTTCTGGGAAAATGTGCTTTACACTCCTACAGGCAATGGCCAGCCAGAATCTTGGCCTGGTAGGAAAGCCTCCATCAATCCTTATTTCCTGTTCTGGAGCGGGGTCCTAAGCCTTCAAAAACATCCCTGGAATGTCCCTATAGCAGGGCTATGTGTTCCCTCCAGCCAGTCCATGCTGGTTGTAAGCAAAACATAAATCCTCTGGTACCAGGAAATGCAGCTTTTTTTTTTGGGGGGGGGGGAAGCTTATTGCGGATGACTCTGGGCTCCTCTCCCTATCCCTGCTTCTCCTTCACCCCACAGAGCCTCTTGTCCTGGCCTGGGGGACAGCCGAGATCAAAGGAGAGCTGCCTCCATGTGAAAGTGGAACCACAGACAGATACTCCCAAAAGGCAACTCAAACCCTTCAGTATTTGTTAGAATATTTTGACAAAACCAAAAGCTCAAGGGACAGTGGAATTGGAGAAAGTTTAAAAAGGAATAGCAAATATGGGCAATGCCAAAATATGTATTTTAAGATATTTAAGATTCTGGGCATGGAACAACAGCCATATTTTGAAATTAACTTTCTTAATTAAAAAAATAGAGGCCAAAATAAAACATTTAGACTTACATTTACTCTCTGAAAAGGAACAGTGCTTTAGTCCCAGTTCAGGACAATAGGATTTTGAACTCTGGAACCTTCCTGCCAGTCTGTTTCTGCTGCCCACTGCACAGAAAAGTAGCAAAACATCCCATTAAAGGAGTGTATTCCTGTCTGTTTAACACATGAAGTGCTTCAGCAACCTCAAAAAATCACCTTTTTTTTTTTTTACAATTGAATTTATTAATGCCTTATATGACTATACAGCAGAGCAGTTTGTCAGATACACAGTATGAGTCCCTATGCAGTCTTTTTTTATTTAAAGAAACCTTCAGGATCAAATCCTGTTCTGTGAGGTGCTGCCAGCAGCGAGCACCTCTGCCTATGTTGTAACCACTCATGTTTGCCTTCCTTACACATTGATTGTATCCCAAATAAAACCAGTTGCGTGGCAGAATGAATTAATCAACAGTGATGTGAGAAATATCTTCAAGCAATAGTGTCTGTCAGGAAAACACTTACTTATGGTTTGTATGTCTCTATGGTCTGGCTTCCTGTATAAAATGCTCAGAAGTAATGCTGTATTGTACTGAAATACTAATGCATGAATTTCTATTTTTCAACGGTCAAGATGCCATTCACTTAAGATCTGCATATAAAATAAATTTGTACACAAGTTTTCTATGTCCAGCTCTTAAATCAGAATCAACACTTTGACCTGGAAACATTATTGGGACTTATTTCCTTCAAACTTGAAAATGGCATTAACCACTCCTGTTTCAAAATCCAAGAGCCTGACACCCTCTGGAGCTCCCTGGGACTCTGGAGGTGGCCCTGAGCAGCTCCTTCATGCTGCAGAAGAAGAAGAAGGACCCTGACAAATCCACCCTACACCGCGCTCTACTGGGACACTACTGCCACCACCATGGACAATGGGTATTTATCACAATGAACTTCAAATAAACACAAATAGATTAAACTTGCCTCAAGAAAGCCAAATACTGGTATCATGTCTATAAGCTTTATTGATACTTGGAGTTTTGGGGTTGTGGGGTTTTTTTTCTCCTTTTTTTGTTGGGATTTTTTTTTTTTTACAGTTCACAATGCATTCCACAGACTTAGTTCAATACAGCTCAAACTGCAAGTGTAAAAATTTTCACTTATTTCTTGCATAACAGGACAGGGCTTTAAGTTTCCAAACAACATTTGCAGCATTAGATACTCGGTCCACAGATTATCAGAGCCTGAAAGCTGGAGAATTATTTGCTCAAGATCAACTACTGTACATTTGTGCAACAAAGTGTATGCTGTAAGTTTCTTTTGCTCTGTGTGAAGGTTCTTTGTTCATTTCTCTTTTGTTGTTTCCAACAGATGCCAGTGTTTACAGAGACTTTAGTTTCTCAAGCTTGTGTGCTCTGGAGCTTGTCCAGGCCTCAGTCAGTTCTCTGAAGTAGAAAGCACTGTGGAGCAGCTGAAAGATCTAAGCTTTGTGAAACACACATATATATATATATTGGCAACTGATAAAACAAAATCACAATACAGCTATATTCATACCAAAAAGGCAAGATTTTTCAAAACTTGCTAAACTGGTATAGTCTTCTAAAACATCTCATTTTAGAAAATCTGCATCAATCTACACAGACCATACACAGTGCACAAACTGGGAAGTGTTCTCCTCTGCCCCACCCACTCTACACCTCTGGAACGCAGCAGGAACTACCTCTGATGAAGCAAATGTACAGCTGTCTCAGTTGTTTGTATTAGCCAGTGCTGCACACAGGATAAGGAAAGATGATTAGTTTTAGATCCATACATAGCAGCTTACAATACTTAAAGATGATGAAACACATGGCAGTCAAAACAGTTATTTTTCCTCAAACACTGCGTTGCTAAAAAATAAAATCTGTGAAATTGCACTGCAATGTCAAGGGGTTATTCCCTGACCCTCCCCATGTAAATCCAATGAGTATTTTCCCCCTTAAAAGATGAACTTCCTTTTCTATTGATAAGTTGCTTCAGGCTTTTTTTATTCAGTTTTGCGCTTCAACCCAGGGATCTTTGCTTGGATCCTGCAAGAGGAAGAAGGAAACACACAAAAGTAAGTTTGAGTAACAGACAAAAAAGAAAAGGTTCAACAGTCTTAGAAACAGCAACACGTGAAAAGAACCCTCACAACACAGCTTTATACTCTGAGCCCAATGAAACTGCTGAATTTCTCATTTCCCCCCTCAACTGCATCTGCTGAGGGGCTCAGGTATCACTAATGGGTTGACATACACAGATTTCCATTAAAGAGTAGAGGCTCATTTCAATACACATCAGCAATAATGGAGCTCATTTCCTAACCAGCCCCGAGTTAGAGCCCTTTTCCCTCCTTGGCCTGGCACATGGAAGACTACATTAGTCCTATACAGGAGTGCCACATGTGCCAGGAACTGTTATCAGTACAAAGGAAAATAAATAAACCCAAACCAACTCACTTTGCCATGGCATCTTTGACATTCTTGTTCACAAGTCCCAGGTAATGGTCGATTTGGGCCTGGGATTGAAGAAGAAAAGTTACAACCCAGCTCCTCCTTTGCAGCCTGGCTGAGTCTCACAAAACTCTGGGAGAAGTGGGAGCTCAGCCAGGGGTATATTTCCCAGTATGATGCCAGAACTCTAGGAATGCACGCACCAGAGGGCACAGTGGGCAAAGTCCCAAAGGAATCAATCCCCAGCTTCTCCCTGGTCCATCAAGCCCCAGTTATAGGTGCAAGGCTGGGCCCCGCTGGGCCCCACAGAACAGCAAAGCTGCTTAGCTGGGCCGGGTAACCAGCTTAGGCTGCAGCCTGGCCAGAGGATTGAGCGGCTCAGGTTAAGCCCCACACAGTCTGTGCTCCAGCCTTGGGGCTCCCGGGCTCCCTCTCCCTGTGCAGGAGGAGCATGGACAGGACCCCATGAGGCTCTGCCATCTGCTCTGCCTACCCCCAGTCCCAGCCCAGCCCCTACGGCAGCCTTGCTGTTGAAAGGGGAGACGAAGGGGTAAGCCCCCTCCTGTGCACTGACCTGGCCAAGACAGCCCTGGCCATAATTTAATCAAAAGCATTTTACTTTGGCTCCTTCCTCCCTACTCCTTTAACATGGGAGTCTCTCCCCAAGAGCAGCCCTGAATTGGGCCAAGCAGCTCCCACCTCCTGTTTTTGCCAGGGCTACAAATTCCACAGAGTTTTGGGAAACCAATCCGAATATCAACTCCAAAAGGCACAGCAGGATTAACACACCATGCCCAGTGCTGCTCCAGTCCTGACCAAAGCTGGACCAGTAGTAAAGGCCTCCAAGTTCATCAGGCCTTTTCCAGAACTGTTTGCTGGAGAAATCTCTTCTTCCACCAAGAAGGAAAAGGGAAAGCACGCACGGGTTGAACTTCAAGCTGAACTAGTGTTCCCTGGCCCTGCTTCCTGGGTAAAGGTCTATTTTAAAGTCTTTAAATACTTCAGAAGACTGAAATTAATTTTAATTATTTCTGGTTTTGCTTCAAGCTGATCTTATGAAACATTTAATGAATTCTATTAAATACTTACCTGATGTCTCTCATAAATAACAGGAACACTGAAGAGCGAAATCAAAGCTGGAAAAAAGCACATCAAATGCATAAATATTGACAACAGGGATGGTGTTCAAGCAGAACAAGGACTAGTTTCCACACCTTGGTATGTCCTGCAAAAATGTACAAGAAAAATGAACAATTAAGCCCCACGACCAATTGTTGGCCAGAAAATTGAATAGTCTCTATTAAGGAGAGCCTGAGCTGTTCTCCAGGTCTCACCAACAGTACAGTTAAGTCTGGTCACAGGTCATTTTTCACAGTGGGTCATGCAAATTCTTCCCAAAGGCTGCTCAGGCATCAGTTGGTTCTAACACCTGAAAGCTAGCCTGCTCTGGGATATAAGAAATTAAATCCTGCAGTGGGACACAGCCACTGCAGATCCTGTACCTCCTCTGAAGTCCCAGCACAGCAATGACATTCAGGGCAGGCTAAGCCTGACAGGGACAAGCACAACAACCTGCCAATAAATGTAATGTGTAATGCCTGGAAATAGAATCTCAAGGAATTCAATAACACAACTCAAAATTACCTGTTCCATTGCTTTATCAAAAAAAAGGAACTTAAAGTGCAACATCTTAAGGCTAAAGAATCAGCCTCCCAGTGTTGACCGGACCCCACTGCTTTCCCAAGGTTATTTGGTGTGCCAGGTGTGTAACACAAGTCCACACTTACCCAGGATCAGTAATGTCAGACCATTGAACAAGGCACCAACGTAAGTGAAAAACCACATCAATACTGCGAACTGCAAGGGAAAAAGAGCCCGTCAGCACCCACTCTGTGCCCAGGACATCCCAGGGTTTGCTGCAAACACAAATACCAATCTAAACAGCCCCAAACCGCACTTTACCCTTGTACACCTCCTGTAATCAGAGCTGGGTGATGAGATGGCTGAAGGACTCAGTAATGGGATACGTGGACTCCTGTGTCCAGATCACAGGGCTGAATTCAGCCTGGGTCAGCAGTGCCCAAACACTGCCCTGCGCCTTCTCAGGGCACTGCCAATTCCATGGTGAGGAATGAAGGGCAATCATACAGTTCTCCTACCTTCCATCCTCCAGAGAAAGGGGACAAGCCAGGCCAAGAGAGGCCAAAGTGCTGGTGCACGACAGAGCCAGAGAGAAAGATCACACGTGTGCATGGTGGCCCTGCTGCCACCCGAGTGTCCACCCACTTGGCCAAGCCATGCTCTGACTAGACCAGACAGAGGCTCTGACACATCAGGAAAAGCCTCTCTGGAAGGTAACCGGGTAGGGTGTCCTTGATTTACCTTTTCTCCTTCAAAAAACCCAAAAAACTTAAGATGTTAAAAAATTTAGGGCCAAGAGGAGTGAAAAGTGCTCTAACGTGGAAGCTGGCTCCAGGTCAGAGCCAAGCCATCCCTAAAGCCCCACACTGCCTGCTGGCTCCCTATCTCAGCCCCATTCTCCCTCCCTGCTGACAGCATTTGTCCAGCTCCTGGTGGGACACAGGCTCCGCTTCCCAGCTCCACACAAAGGTCTGCCCACATTTAGTGCCAGGTGGAGTGTCCCAGGCACACCTCTGACCTATAGCAGTGGGAGGGGACCGAGGGCTGCCAACTCTATTTTGGGGTAGGATTCCTCCCGAGGAAAATCAGCCGCTTTCTTCTAGAGTTGCAGGACTGCTGAGGAGCTGAGCAGCAGCCAGGAACAGCAGCTTTCCCAGTGTTTATCCCTTGCTCTGCACAGAGCAGAGACCCCAGCCCTGGCCAGCTCAGCACATGGGGTTGTTTTCCAGCAGAACCCATGAGAAGGCTGGCACTGGCACCAGGGTGTGCAGACCTGGACACAACCCAGGAACAACCTGGAACAACCCAGGATGGAAACACTCCCATGAGCAGGAGCTACACCTAACAAAGGATGGGCACAAAGTGCTGGCAAGGAAAACAAGGCATGGTTGCAGGACTGTGGGTGTGAGCCAGGAGCCTGGTAACTGGCCTGCAGCCAAGGTACTCTGAACTTGCATATCCCATCATCCAATTTTAGCTTATCAAAATACGTAAAATATCCAAACCAAACAAAATCAACAGCCAGCAACAAGGTAAGAGCATTGGTGGTCAATACAAGTTTAATTCCATGATCCCTGCAACAAAATCAAGTTGACTTAAGAGCTTCACTCAGGTGCATTGACTGCAAGTGATGCAGTTCTTTTTCTGTCAGCACTTCTGAGATGGAACAAAGCAGCACCAGGGAGGAGCACAAAGTCAACCTTCAGAGAGGCTGCACCATTCCCAGTGGTGCAGGGGGATTCTGGCAGGTTTCTCAAGGAAAATAAAGCAGATTGGCTGAACCCCCTGGCCCAGTTCTGCCCTGCAATGCCAGGGTGAGCCTGGAGCTGACCTCTCTGCATCAGACATTTTACTAGAGCAAACACTTCCATGTTGGAGCAG